CAAAGTTTTTGGGAAGAACTTGATTTCATGGAAGCACCAAATGATCACCGGGCCACACCGCGATTGATACTCTTCAAGCAGAAAAGACAATATGAGCATCGGAGGGTAAGCCTCGACAGGTTGACGACAGACAGTGTGATAGATGCGTATGGATCCCACCCGCACTCGTGTATTCCCGTCAGGTGCGTGTGTCAGCTGTCTTCGGCATACCTAGATATTTGAAAAGACGTCGACCATGTTGGATATACTCACAGCATCGATACAACGAATGATTTCAATCCATCTCTAAGAGTGTGAGACAGAGTAGCAATCAAGCAACCTTCCGAGTGGATGGAGCAGGGAAGGGATTTTGGCGGTTTTATGCATACAGTTGTGTTGAGATGTTTCTCCGCGCGGGCCAGGCCAACACGTACAAAGGAACGAATGCCTTTATCCTTTTCGTGCCAGGTACGAGTGTGTGTGTTTGCGGTGTGTCGGTCCCTGGGGGAAGCTTCTGCCTCAAGATGCACGCATGCATAAACATAGCATGCGACCAGAAGCTGGTTTAGCTTGCTATTGGCGTTCAGCACAAAATTAACAGACTCCAGACGCTTGTAGACATTCCATTCGCAACAACTTGGTTGATTGATTCATTGATTGGTTCACCTGTTCCCTGGGGTGGTTGAAGATGGACCGCAAGCTAAAAGCATTGGCTCACATGTTAGAGCCCCACGCGCAAAAAAATAGCCAAGAAGTCACCCCTACAGCAGGCTATTTGGTAATCCTTCCGCTTTCCGTCTCCTTTCTCTTCTGCTTCTCAGTACATCAGACAGACAGACAGATGCACCGATGCACCATCGCGCGCACCCGACGCAAAAAAAAGGTAGCAGTATTCGGTCCCGCTCATGTTTCAGACCATTTTCTGCCCAACCAAGTTGGCCCAACAGCGGCCTGAATCTCTCTGTGTGGGCCTACTCTAGGTACCACCAAGACAACCACGCCAAAAGATCACGTATAGCACATAGTCTACATGTCAAGCCGATCACGATAGTCTTATTTAGTGCGTACACACGTTTGGTTGCTACTCGAGTCTAGCCGATATTCCTGAGTTTGATTCCTGTTCGCACCTTCCTATCTTTTTAGTCCTGTCCAGCTCACAACGTCGACGAGCCGGGTGGCTCAATGCTGTGGTTCTCGACTGCTGGACAAAACGGCCGAGTTAATTTTCCACACGGGGTCGAGCGTCGACGCTTGGTTGTAACTGCGGGTGGGTGGATTTGTTTGTTTTGGGAAAGATTGGAAAGATGTCTCCTCAATCAATTTCGGATCTCGGTGTATTTTTCGAATTTTGAAGTTCAACTTGTCACCATACTTCTAGTAGTTTATAATAAAGAAGGGCCTTCTGTTCAGTGTGCGATTGGATCTTGAACGAAACATATTCGGAGTAGAGACGAAAAAATTCGGCGCCTCTAGCTCCTCTCCTGTGTCTCTGTGTCGGTTTCTCTCCGCTTCGATTGTAAAATACCCCTGCTCATCACGCACGGCTGCCTCCGACGCCCGCTTTCCCTTTTGGAATGTGGGTGGGTGATTGGTTACGACGAACGATGCAAGACTTGCTTTTTTCCCCCATCAATATGACCCAACGAATCCATCTCTATCGAAGAAAAAAGTCTGAGATGAATTTGCAATGAATCCATAGCATCAGCGAAAATTCTGTTTTTTCCAGGCTTTGCCGAGTCCCTTGTGGAAGTATATTTAGACTGCTGTGGTGGTAGTCTTTGGCATTCATGCACACACACATGTTCTGTCTGCAGAGTCGGCTCGTGCCTGTATGCGTATATCAAACATCTACCTGCATCTGCAATCCGCGTCCAACCTTCCGGTGCGTTCCCTTCTCGATGTAGAACATGAAAGTTCTGGCAACAACACGCGCCCACGTATTTATTTGCACACGAACTTGCTTATCTTGCGTCAATATCTTCTCGCGATGACTCCACTCTTTTGCTTGATGTGTTGTTCGCCGGTTCGCTGAAATAATTGACGAGCTAGCACCCAGGCGTTCGCCTGACGGAATGTTCGGTCCCTGTGTCTTTATTATGATCGTGTCTTTGGCTGCAGCATGGTCCTCTGCGCCAGCGTGTTAAAGTCTCCTTCGTTGTGCGTTGGTCTAGACTACGTAGCTGTATCGTCTGTCTGGTGGTGATGCATGATGATGACAAAAAGGTGCGTTTTTCGTAGCGATCCGTTCTAACTTACCCACAACACAGTATGTAGCAGTCTGCACTACGCTTACACTCTGCTGCTGCTGTAGCGACCGCCTCATGTTCCGTGCGGAGGCTGGCGAGAGACGCTACATTACACGAAAAATAGAAGTAAATTTCTGAGGATTTTACCCTGCACCAGGGTGGAGTCTCAACCGTCGGCAATCCCGCCGCATTCGGAAACGGCCGGTTCAGATTTCGTTCACGTCCAGAATACAATACAGCATGTATTCGCATGCTACCAGGTATGCATGTAAAACTTCAGATCGGCCTCGCGATGAAACATGTAATGCATGCTTCATTTTTTTGAGATGCATACATATGTCTATATCATGTAGGTGCATGTACGATCGGAGAGAAGGACCTTTGATCCCGACACGTCCTTGTTCTTGTAGATACTACTGCTGTAGATACCAAGCAGACCTCCGACGACCACTTCCATTTGTAGATTGCCGTGTCTTAGACTGCCGTGTCGTACGTATGAGGGAAACCAACATGCCAACGATTCGGCATTTGTCAGGGTCTGTGTATCAAATCATCCATCACTATCGCGCGCGCGCCTCCACGGGGCCAGGTGTCTTGTACAATCTCGCCGCCGTTTTACCGTTTCATGTTGTTTCCAGGTCGATCTTCTGTTATCTTCTGTGCTCCTCGCCTCTCCTCTCGAGCGCGCAAGCCAACTGCAGGACGGTTGGGGACCTAATTCCCCACAGCCACCATAGGGATTTCTCCGAGCCCACCATGAACCATGTGAGGAGGGCTTCGTCACCAGTCTCTCCGTGCTGTAAATGAAATCGCGCCGTACTAATACATGTACAACATAGTCAAGTGTACATGTGTGTTTTATCTGCGGATTGCAGTACTAGACTATACCTTTTGAAGACTTGGGCTGCATGCGCATTTTCTTCGGGGACATTAGGGATCGCATAGAAATGAAGCACCCCCATACGGAGATTAATAGACTACCACGTTGCGCCCTCTGGAGGTACAGCATCAGGAGGCTAATACGACGCACTGTCATTAGCAGCAAGTATGTTGCTTTCGAACACCAAGCGCGCGCATGTGACACAGGGAACCCGCTGCATGCACTCGCTCTCGTCTCCCCTTGTTCCTTGGTCTTGGCAGATGTGCGCGTAATTTCAAGTTTGATCTAACCGTCGAGGTCCAAAGTATGAGAGCAACACCAGCAGCAAGGCTCCTCATCTTCGTTGTACCATGTATCATACCACCGGCGGCAACAATACCCCGAGGAGCGGAAAAATCATTCCGAATAAATTTCCAGGAGGAACAGGAGCACCCACAAACGCAGAGGAGCAACAGCCTACACCAAACAACCACGGCTATGACACGAGAGGTTGAAAGGGTGAGTGAGGTTCTGTGCCTCGCGTAGACCCTTCGGAACTTACGTTCGGAGTCGTCTGAGCTGGCTGGTATGCAACTCCTATCCACAAGAGATAGGTCAACACCCAATATTCGCTTTGCCCTACGGTATGTGTTTACCAACAAACGCAGAGGAGCAACAGCCTACACCAAACAACCACGGCTATGACACGAGAGATTGAAAGGGTGAGTGAGGTTCTGTGCCTCGCGTAGTCCCTTCGGAACTTACGTTCGGAGTCGTCTGAGCTGGCTGGTATGCAACTCCTATCCACAAGAGATAGGTCAACACCCAATATTCGCTTTGCCCTACGGTATGTGTTTGCCAACAAACGCAGAGGAGCAACAGCCTACACCAAACAACCACGGCTATGACACGAGAGATTGAAAGGGTGAGTGAGGTTCTGTGCCTCGCGTAGTCCCTTCGGAACTTACGTTCGGAGTCGTCTGAGCTGGCTGGTATGCAACTCCTATCCACAAGAGATAGGTCAACACCCAATATTCGCTTTGCCCTACGGTATGTGTTTGCCTGCATTGCTCCATGGTGTTGGCTGAAGGATACATGATACCGTACAGGGAATTCGCAAGAACTCCCACGTACGATGATCAATCACTTGGGAAGCCATTGCTGTGCCAAGGCTTGAACAATAGTAAAACAGGTACAGTTTTCGGATTTTTCACGTTCGACTCCAAACGTACTTTCCTCCGAGGTATTCCGATACGGGACGAGTTAACATAATGTGAAGGCGACGATGAATCTGTCCAACTTCTCGAGCTGCATGTTGGTGGACGTCTGTAGGTGACTCCATGGGGGGCTACTCAAGGTCTCGGCGGGCGATCCAGTACAGCTTCACCCCCGAGTATCCCTACAGGTGGGCAACTATCTCCCTTTCTTCACGAAAGGGATATATTTTCGAACCTGCAGCTTGGTTGTTTTCTTCCATCCGTACTCTGTCTATCGCTTTCTCAACATTTGGTGTAGCGCAAATTGTGGTGCGCTTCTCCCTTCTGGATCTGAAACAAACGTTCAGGTGCTCGGACGTCTCCCAAAAGACGGCCGTCCTCGCAAAGTTTTCTGGCCAACCACCGCTTCACTCAAGCATTGTGTAGTCCTTCGGGGTGACGTGGACATCGCAAGCAACACATCTAAGCGCAAGTTCCGTTCTTCACATTCCCTCACATAGTTCCTGGGGATTCACCAAAGCTGGCCTTGCTTCGCCGCAAACAACCGTAGATATCGCATCTCTAGTGGTAAAAGTTTCGATTCAAACCCCGTCCAGCGTATACATAGGCACCTCTGATGCATACATGTCGTAGCGTTGAAAACGCGTGCTCGAGAGTACACTTAAGGGACAGAACCGAAGAAAAGTTCTCGTTACGAACATGAAGACATCTACGGCAGAGGAGGTCTTGGGTATGACCACAGGTTGAAAGATGAGGTAGAGAAACTGCTGCAAGGTGATGATACGCATTAAGGGACGACGAATTCAAAGCATACTGCGCGCAACGAAGCGCTCCTCCCTCAAAGGGTCTTCCCCGTTTGCCGTCTCCTCTCGCCTCCAATCTCCTATCAGGGACACAAGGAGACCCCGTTTTGACAGGGGCGGCCATAGCACACCGTGGCGACACCGCCAGGCAACTCACCACAGAACGGCGACAACGAAAACACAACTCCCCTACATCGTCACACGACAACAACGATAACAACGACAAACGGGTGAACTCAACCAAGAAACGTCTCCCTGGCCCAGAAATCCTTGATGGCGCGGGGAGAACCTGGGACGAGAGAGAATACCATCACGGGAACCTACGCACAGCGTCGGCAGCGGCGGCGGTGACAGCGGTCGTGCCAGGGTCCCCACCGAAACAGACCCCGCTTCACACTGCCATGTACGGATTTTTCAAGCAAGAGAAGAAGCACCATCCACCGCAGCAGCCCCCTAGCACGGCCCTCCAACGGCTTCCCGGCCCCAGTGATGAAGACGGCTCGAGCAGCAGCACGAGCGCGTTCTGGTCCACGAACACCCCTTCTTCCGCCACGTACGTCTCGCCCGCCAGGAAAAGTCTGGTAGCCGAGCATAATGCTGGCAAAATCGGCGAGGCTTCCTCGGCGGCGCCTATAACGGATGCGGTTGGACTGCCCAGTCCAGGCAGAATGCCTCGGGCAATGCCGTCGCCGCCGTCTAGTGCTGCTGAAACGACGCTGCCGCCGACATCGGGAGATGTCAACAACACACCAAACATCGCTGAAAGGGCATGGGCTCCGTCGCCAACGTCGAACTCCCGTGGCTGGGCTGGTGGCAGCCCATCATCGGCAACAACGGCGAGCGAGGCCGCGTCTAGGACACCATCGCGAACACCTCGCGCTGCCCCTTCGCGCTTTCGGACAACCGAATGGAGTGCCCCCACCCCGAACACCAGCGGCCGAGGAATCGAGACACCACTCCCGACTTCAAGAGGTAATGGCGAATCCGTGGCCTCGCCACCAACCGCAAGACCAACCGAGCCACCATCACCCAAGGGCACGGAGGCGCGACCTGCGCCAAGCCCTGCGGGAGTGAGGCGTGAGGCGGCGGCCTGGAGCGGAGCGGACGAAGAGGTTGGGAGCATGCCACCAACAGCGGGCTTCCGCGGTCAACAGTCGACCATGTCTGGGTCGAGCAGCTTCACGTCGAGTCTAGCCGTGGGAGGAACACCCCTTGCAGCTTCATCGAGACAGCCGTTTCTCAGCGGGGACGACGGCGACCGCAATGTTGCCGCGCCGACCTCCCTTCCGGCGTCACTCACCGGCCCTCCCGTTTCGGTAGGAGTTCCTATACCGAGTCCAACCATGGGAGGAGGAAGGGGAGAAGAAGAGGAGGGAGAGGAGGGAGAGGGCATCAGTAGTGCTCTACAGCCAAGTTCAATCGAAGCTTCGCCAGCACCTACCCTTCCGACTGGGTCGAGCGCAACGTCTACGACGCCGACACTTACCGGGTTCCACGCAGGATTCCCGACTAACAGCCCGACGGAGAGGACACGTGGCATTAGTTTCACGCCTTCACCCGCCTCAAGCTCGTCAACAGCAACCGTGGATGGAGCTGGGCAAGAGGAGAGCGAAGAACACAGTGAAACTTCCTATCCCAGCAGCCTGGTCTTTACAGCACCGCCGTCGACAGGAGGGAAACGGGAACGTTCATACGCACCTACTTCGTTTCCCCATTCGAGCCCCGCCAATACAGCATCGCCGACTGCGCCATCAATGGAGGAAACCCGAGGCGTGGCATTCTCACCCGCACCTACACCTTACCCTGACCCGAGCACGGAAACTACGTCATCGGACGGTTACCCGTCCGCACCTACATCTTCTCCTCACCCAACGGAAGCCTATATTACAGCATCGCCGACGGCGTCTTCGATAGAGGAAACCCGAGGCGCAGCGTTCTCATCGGCACCTTCCTCGTACCCTGACCCGAGTCCAGTCATTACGTCACCTTACCCAACCGAGGCCTTTTTTACAGCATCGTCGACGAGGGATTCGAACGGAGAAAGTCAAGATGGTGTATCCTCGCCGGCACCTACAGCTACTCCCTATCCTGCGCAAGATTCTTCGTTAGCACCAACAACGACACCCACAGCAGGGAATCGAGGGAGCTTATCATCGTCCACGCGTACACAATCTCCGGAAACGATTCCTGATTCTAAAGAATATCCAAGTTCAAGTCCGCCTGTGGGAGATGAAGGTGGAGATGTCTTATTCGCGCCCAGTATACCTCCCGAACTTGGTTCCATATTTCCAGCATCATCAGCACCTGCGTTATATCCTGATCCAAGTCGAGCTTCAACGATGTCTCCAACGGCGAGTCCGACAGGAGTGGGAAGTCAAGGTGAAGATGTCTCGCTCGGGCCCACTACATCTCCCGATATCGATCCAGCACTGCCAGCATCGTCAGCACCTACGTTATATCTTGGCCCAAGCCGAGCGTCGACGATGTCTCCAACGGCGAGTTCGACAGGAGCGGGAAATCAAGGTGGCGATGTTTCATTAGCGCCCACTACATCTCCCGACGTCGGTTCAGCATTGCCAGCATCGTCATCGCCTACGTTACATCCAGGCCACGCTTCAACGATGTTTCCGACGGCGAGTTCGACAGGAGTGGGAAATCAAGGTGGTGATGTCTCATCCGCGCCCACTATACCTCCCGACGTCGGTTCCGCATTGCCAGCATCGTCAGCACCTACGCTATATCCAGGCCGAGCTTCAACAATGTCTCCGACAGCAAGTTCGACAGGAGGAACGCAACAAGAATTTTTCTTGCCGGCTCCTTCTCCATATACTCCCAGCCCCACCGTTGGCGGGCGTGGGGGCGCGGGGGACCGAATTTGGTCAACAGGCTCTCCTACCAGTTCTCCCACATTCCAAGGGCGAAAAAAGGTCGTTGATCAACTTTGGCCAACAACCGCCCCCACCGACGTCGCCACAGCCCACGTGCCAACCCTTCCATGGCTGGTAAGAGTCGGCCGCGATAGTTTCTACAGTGGTGTTGGCCTGAAACAATAGCAGAAAGAGTCACGAGATGGTTTGGGAGTCGTTCCATTCCGTTCTTTAGGGAACCAACTCTATTCTGCCTCTACACGAAATGGCGTCTGGAGAAGCCAAGGCACCCCCAGTTCAGCAGACTACACCCGTGCTCTTGAAAAGGAAAATAATGTAAGCAGCTGGCTATGCTCATCGCATTGATGCACCAGGCCTCTCATGAACATGTTGTTGTCGACTTTCCTGCGTGGTTGTCAGCAGGAACGTCCATACACCCCCCCAGTATAAGCTTGTCAAAGGGTATTCGGCAAAGAGTGCGGGGTGGGAGGAGCTCAGGAGAGTTTCAACCTCAGACTAGCTGCACCAGAGCTGTGACAAAAACAGAAGCACCAGACACCTAAATGGTACAATCCAAGACTAGTTTCAGAAGATGCTGGACTCAGCACCCCATCCGATCAAAATCCTGCTTTGACAATCGTGTTTCTGTTTTGTATTGTCAGACGGAGACCAACTAATGCGTTTCGAGGTCAAGGTGTAGTACACGTTTCTACTCTCGTCGCGAAACGTGTACATACACCAACCATATTAACGCTCCGCCTTGGTGCCCGGCCGGCAGGAAACTGGGTCGCCAACGACGAGCCACCATGCACGCGGAACAGAACAAACAGAACGTCCGTTTTCAGCAGCCTATTGGCCAATGACGTCATCGTCGTCACCCACTTCGGCACCAACATCATCACCGTCGCCATCACCGTCCAAAGACAGCGACTACGCTTCTCAAAGACCACTGTTCTCCTCGGCTTCAACAACGGCTGATGGTCAAGAAGACCCGCACCTCCTAAGTTTTGCACCCACCTTGGCCTCCAGCTCGCCGGGTAACCGCGGGTTTGAGTTCAACACCGCTTCACCTACGTCTTCTCCAAGCGTTTCCTCGACGGCCACCGCAAGTGAGAGCGGCTGGAGTTACATCGAACAGGATCAGCGGACGACGGGCTTCCCCACGACTTCCCCTAGTACCACCCCCGGCAAAACAGCTGCGCCTACATCTCCGGTGTCGACACCGAGAAGCGACGAAGACGGTGTCTCGACACCAACGCCTACACGAGTTTCGGGTTCGGGAAGAGAGGACACCCCTCCCCCCCCGCCAGCCTTGTTCCAAACCCTAATGCCTACAGCGCCCTCCTCTTCTTCCGGAACGCCAGAGCAAGGCGAGCGCGGCATTGGCAGCGACAGTGATGGCGAAAGGAACGAGATCTTCTCGCCGTCGGGAGCTCCTACTCCCTCAATCGCTTCCGACGGAGGTCTTGATCGTGAGGAGGGTGGCATTCCGACCACCCCCACGGCGACCCCTGCCCCGACTCATCACGACGAGGACCTGTGGTCGTGGTGGTTCCAGACCGGCGGTCAGCGCAGGGATCGAGGGCATGCGCTTGTGAACGGGGTGGGCGGAAACGCGAGTCGGCGGTACCTTGTGGGTGCGGAAGACGGAGTTGTGGCCTCGGACTCTGTAGCCTCGGGTGAGAAATTGACCATCGTGTTCATTTTGAGCAGGGTTACTGACACAATTACGGGTTTCCGGAACGCGAGTTCGGGATCAATATTCACTCTCCCTGGACCGAACTTGAATCGATCCTGATACACCCTTCCATCCACCTCAAGTATGTGCCTAGTAGGCGAACCCCAATGTGCCACGAGCCGCCAGTGGCGATATTGGGGCCATATTTTGTCACACCATGTTGAAAGGTACCCTTATTCCACCCCCCTCCCCGACCTATTTTTGGTTCGTCCAGCATCTACCAACGACAATGATGACATGGCCGGGCGGCAGCGGCGGCGTTTGCAAAGCGACACCGGATCGGGGCAAGATATCTCCGTTGTCTGTCTTAGCACTGAGGGTGAAGATGTGAGCACCAAAACACTGCCGACAAACCTCGAAACTACGCAACAAAACGAGCGAGCGCCAGGGGGTGGACGTACACAGGAAAAACGCAACCGTGCGATGATTCGGATATTGGCAACTAGGGCTTAGCGGGCCAACGCCATACTTGTTTTGTGTCTTTTTTCCCACGTTTCGGCAGTGAACGTCCACCCATGGGGAGCTTACAACGATTTGGCTACTCCAGTCCACCGCTACTTGCTGAGAGAACGTGGGCATGCTCATGTAGGAAAGTGAACCCTACGTTGAGCGGCGGGGTGTTCGATGCTTGGGGCGAACACAACGTTTGTCATTGAATTTCCCAAGGTTGTTGTCGTGTATCCCCTGGTCTTACATATGGCGCCCTCTGGTCCCCTCCCTCGGTATCATGTAGTTGTGGCACACGACAGCGGGCTCCGCCGCGGAGGATATCGCGCTGTGCGCCGATGCTGGCGAGGGTTGGGTGGCCATCGCCGGCTACACCACGGGCAGCCTCTACTCTGATAGCGCCGGTGAGAAAAACGACGCACCCGGAAACGACTTCTCACAGTCAGGCGAGACGCGCTAGTGGACGAATGCACCAAGGGCGAAGATTTTCAATATTATACACTACATTAGGAGGGATAACAAGGGGGGGGCATGCGTTGATGTCAAAGGGAAGACATGCGCACCTACGTATTGTGGAATCTCGTAGGTTGATGTTGCACAGATGGTAGGACGTTTGCGCTGGCCTGCTATCTTCTTTCATGCTCCTCGAGTCTACCGCATACAAATTTTGACGGCCTTCTGACCGTGATTCTTCTTCCGTTCACCACACTGGTCTTGCACGTAACCGTTGCCATCGGCAGGTGGAGACGATGCGTTTCTGGTGCTATTGGACCCCGACACCGGGGATGCTCTTGGGGGCTGGCAGTTCGGCGGGGAGGGCTCGGAGCGCGTGTATGCCTTGGGCTTGGACCAAGACAGCGGGGACGTTGTCGTCGGGGGTTTCACGACGAGTTCGCTCTTCGCCACGAACGGTGAGCTTTCGATTTGTGTTGTATATTTGTCATCGTCCCCTTCTGGAACGCGGACATGACGCTTGTGGACAGAGCTACGGCTTCTGATGTAGTAGGCGTCCTCCAAGCACCCGCGGCATCCTCATTGCAAGAATTCCGGATCACGTTTTGATACACTCTCTCCCGCTTATGACTCCTAGCCACCGTATGTAGAGGTGCAAGCCAACCAATACTTGGTTGTTGAGGTTTCCTTTCCGCACCACGTATCTTCAGTACCACACTCATCTTTTTCTCGCTACCTATCTAGATGATGCTGTTTCCCAGTACTTCCTGGCGCGCTTGGACACGGGCAAACTCCTGCTCTCGCCCGGGCGGTTGGACCTAGCCGATGCGGGAAGCGACGTGGTGGTGTGGGGGTGGCAGTACTCGGCGTCTGCTGATCTCGAGGTAACGGCCAAACATTACCACCACCGCCGCCGCCGCTGACCGAAATCGCACGATCGACGCTCTCCTCAGCCGATCGCGCACGCCCATACAAATCTTACTCTTCGGTTCTATGTCGTGGATATCGTGTCTGGAAGTGGCTGAAGCTTAAGATGCGTGTGTCACCGCTGCATCACCCGTGGCGAGAGTTTTGCATGAGCTGTTTCGTGTTGCGGTTCCTGGACAAGTGATGACATTCTCGGGGTACCCGCCACGATCTGTCCGTTTTCTCCGTTCTTGACTTGTCGACGAAATGAAAGGAAATAACCTTCCAGTATTCGCTTCCTTCTACCGTCGCCCACTGCCTGCGGCGATCGTCGCAACTTGAGCCGTGGCTCCGCCGTTTTGGGCCCTAACCCCCATGCTTATTGTCCCTCCACGCCATCTGTGGCGATTTCTCCCCGTAGTTTCGTTTCTGACCGGTAGGGCAAAACTAGTCGTACAAGGTGTTATTCATCGCCAGAAAAGTACCCGCAGATAGACCCGTTTCCATCTTCCCAGAGGAACATTCTTTTCCAAACACTTCCCTTCCAATCGAGTACTGTCCTATGTCATCGCACCCCCCGACCCCCCATTCCTCAAAACCTCATGCATCTCCCGCATCCGCCTTTTGGTCGACTCCTTGGAAGAAAACGTTCGGATATTCTCTGCCCCATCCTGTACACCCCCCCCCCCCCCCCCCCCCCCCCCCCCCCCCCCCCCCCCCCCCCCCCNCCCCCCCCCCCATCCTGTCTCTCTTTTCGCCATGTCTGTCAAATTGGGCTCCAAGGCCATTGTTTCCCTGCGAGTCAACCCCGGTACCGGCGTCGTGACGGCTTTGGGCATGAGGGGGTTGCCGGCAGACTGGAGCCCACGCGACACGGATTTCGTCCCCGAAGACGATGATGAGCTGCATTCTTCGGTGTTCTCGCTCGAGCTTGAGACCGGTGAGAGGCGTTCGGCATGCCCACACAATGATTCTGCACGCCACGGACAAAACTAGAAGCATGTGTAGAAGGAATGGGCAGAAGAAAGGAGGTCCCTGTGCGAAAAGTATATCTTCCCGCCGTTATGTCGTACAGACCAGCTTGACGCCCGACACCACCGATGAAGCAACTTCGACGTATTCGTGGTAGGGATTGCTTGATTGTACTCCCTCTTCAACCGATCGTTTTAAGGTGATCTTTTCCGGAACTCGACCGAAGAGGAGGGTCTCGCGGCGGCTGTGGCGGTAGACGAGGGTACTGATGACGCCTATGTTGCGAGCTTCACTCGCTCGGCTGACAATAACGACCGGGTCGTTGTGTACAAGGTAAAAAGGAACTACAGCCTTCATCGGCACGTTGTTTTGGGCACCTCTTTCGCTACCCTACGACTTGCTGATGGTTCCATGTGCATGGCACCGTAGAAAAGCGTATCGTTCAAACAGCATGGCCTTGCCCGATGTCGCATTGAGTGCTGCTTCCCAGATAATTCTAACGTGGGTGGAGGCCCAAGGCTTTGAAAGCATGAAGTCACTCATGGTATAGGTTCCGATCATACTGAACAACTGCCTTTTCCGCCTGTGGCATCGAGCTTCGCCATGCTCTGCCCAGGAGCGGGTATTTGTTCACATGGCAAACCGCCACACCCAGGGGAGTGAGATCAGGACAAGAGGGATGTCTAAGCTGTTTCCGCGAAGTAGTTTTCACTGTCTCCTGCCACGTCTCATCGAGTAGTTGAACGACATTGTCAACCGTTGTCTCTACCTAGGCTACAGACACGAACGATTTTGACTTGTTTCCCTGCCTCTGCTGACCAAAAGGTTGATAGGAGCAAAGTTGAGCACGAAGGAACATCTTGCTGCAAGTAATGACCTCTACTTCTGCATATGACAGGGGAATCTCACAGATGCACGTTTGAAATCGCTCCCGTTAAGATACATCCAATACCCCGGTGTGGTACACTGTTCGCAATACTTTTCTGACCAGCCTTGCACTAATTGTACATGTAGCGCACGTCTGACGTTGCTCTCTGCGGTACTCCATGCAATGCCTTCGTAACATGTGCAAGGGATTGTCCTACAGTGGGGCAATGTGTTCGCCGTTCGAAAAACTCGGTTCACTCCGTGCAAGATGATATTTCTGAAACCTGACTGTTTTCTCCTGCCTCAAATATGGTACATATCTGCGAACGGTACAACACAAGGTTAACGTCAGTAACGGAGGCATGATGTGGAGCTACCAAGCGACTTCTGAGGGTGTGTTCGAGGGGAGGGCTCTAGCGATAGACACTGTCGGGGACAGCGATGAGATGGTCATCGTGGCTGGAACGACAGGCGGCACCAGCGCCCATGGAAGCTGTAAGCCCACCCAAACCAAGCATTGCTATTCTCGTTCCGAAGTAACGGACCGATTCCACCTCCTTGCCCCGAAATTGTTTATGAGTGAAATCTTGGTTGAGTCGTGTGGCACCCACGACCTCGCCTGGTGGGTATATTTGTACGACACCAACCTGTGACACCCCTCAGGAGGTCTGGCTGATTTTTTGCTTCATAATAGCTAACTGTTCTCTTCTTTATAACTGGCGGCATTGCTTGTTCTTTCGCGTTGTCCCCAGATGGCTCAACGGATGCCTTCGTGCTGTTACTGGGCGCCGACAACGGGTCCGAGATATGCTACTACCAGGTCAGCAAATCCCCCCCGTCCGAAAGCTCTTTGAAATAGCTCCATGAAACAAGACGCAGTTCCCCCCCAATATAGGTTGCTATCATCCCATCGAGCAACGGCAGTGTTGCATCGGGATTCCCCGCACAAAACCCGATCCTGGACGTGCTGAACTGCGTTTGCGTGGAACGATGTCGTGGGATCTCGTGGAGAGGGGGTGTTCCATTATGCGCTGTTTGCTTCGTGCGAAGACGTCTTCTCTACAGATCGCATCCGTTGAAGAGGATATATATATATATATATTTTCGATGTTGTTGTCTTCAAGGTACCGCCGCTTGCCAATAGGCTGGACAAGTTTTCCGTAAACATTGGGCCTAAAGACTTTCGTTGTGTGTCGGAAAATATCTTCGTTTTTTCGCGGGGGAATCCGTGTCGCAAGGGGATACCCCCGCTTGGTCCAAAGCCAACACAAAGGTGAAAAATGAGTATGTGCCAAGTATGAGATGGACCAACATTTTCGCTTTTTTCGGCCAGTGGCACGGTTGATCGTGTAACGAGCACGCACGCATGAAGCCCTTTCGTTTCCGTCTGGCTACCGTCGTCTAGTGTGGCTAATTGTAAAAGACAAATCAGCGAGTACGTCTCTACCGCCGCGTGGATATTGCTTATACTCTGTACACAGGCCGGCACGAGTTTCGCCGACGTTGTTACCGGGATTACCGTGGATAGCTCCTCGACAGCGTACTCCGATGTGACACTTGGGGGTTACACTGAAGGGTCCCTGGCTGGTCTGAATGGTGAGAGCATAAACATGCCGCGGCCATTTTCGTGTTCGATACGTAATTTCCTGATTTCTTGGAACCAACCGTGATCAGCGGTGTAGGCTCTCAATTGCAGAAGGCTGATACACTTCGTGGGCGCACGCACTTGACTAATGGAGAACTCCGAGACACTAGCGTTTCGACATACACCGCTAATTTGTCGCGAACATTGCATACGGATGTATACTGGACTTGTCACGGCTGTTTTAGTCGAGGCCGTACATCATGCAGAAAGGTGGCATGTGCAAGTGGGAAACCTGAAGTCATCCTCCACCGCTGCCGCGCTACGTGGGTTATGCGCAACATTGCCCTGCTTGTGGATCGTTGCATGTTTGTCTCGGTTTGGCTGCCAAGCACATCAATTTATCATTCTTATAGTCACCCGGCGTCACTGATGTGCTCGTCGTTTTGGGAAATCTCTTGCGCCGGAAAATGCAACGTTCCAAATGACTTAGCGGGCGAGGTCGACATGTTCGCCATTGGCGTGAGGCTCGCATCGCTCTGCCCGGACGTCAGCAGATCTACGTCCTCCGCCGCCGAAATTGAGGTACATCCCACCAAGTGTAGGGGTGCTTGATGTTGTTCTCGTGCGGGGTTCTGCCACAGATGATAGAGAGTTTTGAGTCCTTGTTGTCGTGCATATGTTCTTTCGCCGACACCCCAATTTCAAAGGAGGTGGCCGGCTGTGGAGAAATTCGGGACGAATTCAGTTATTTTCTTCGTCCCTCTTGCTCATGTGCGCCCTTTCATAGCGGCAGGGTTCCTTCGCGGCCGGAACGATTTCAATCCTGGCAGGCGTCGCTGTCGCCGGCGCCGTCGTGAGCACCATCGTCGCGCCCGGTGCCGCCGTAGCTTCCGCTACGGCAGCCGCGGGGGCCAGCACGGCTGCTGCTGCCGCTGCTACTGCCGGGGCTGGGGCTGTTACGACTACCGCCTCCACCTGTCCCAAGGCAGGTGCTGCAGGCGTGGGCGCGCTCGTGACAATCCTTTCGGTGAGGACGAGGTCGAATTCACGTGTCCTGCGAGTTTGGCGCCTCTCCCCAAAGTCGTTTCACCTCAACGCACGCCGACGATGTTTCGACAAAACAGACATCATTGTACGCCGAGGCGTGCCGAGAACTAGGCGTGCAGAATGAGCCTCGTGGGAGCAACATGACACGCAGCGAAGTCCTAGTGGCTGTGGGATGCCGCCACCCCGGTTATGACATCACCGATGGAACCTTCCCACCGTATCCCGCACATTGCCTACCCGCTTCTCTCACCCGTGACACTGCTGTGGCTTGACTTCTAGGCCGGGCATGGTGCTGGTGGCTTGGTAGGCAACACGCCGACACCCGGAGAGGCGTCGTTCCGCAGCCCTTCGGCATCCATTGGCCTCCTCATGATGACGCAACTGCAATTTCTGGCGACCCTGTCCCTCGTGCAGAGCGTCCACGACTCTGCGTCCTCCCTTTCGTCGTTCGTGGAAAATCTCAGGTGAATTGTTTGGGCATTGTTTGTGTTGTTTTCGTCTTCGTCGTCGTCTCTTGCTGTTGTTGTTGTAGCTGATGTGGTTTGTGGGTACCGTTCGCAAGCTTCGTACGAAGCTGCAGAAACGTACGTCCAACCCGCAAGTCCAGGTGCAAGCGAAACAAACTTGCCCCGCCCACTTCTAGTTCCATTGCTTTCTGATTACGTGGGCTACCCGTGGACTCTGGGTGGGCTGATCAATGTTGTGACTCCCTACTTCGCGCTTGTCTCGATCGTAGGGTTGTCCTATCGCGTTCGCCCTTGAAGCCTCGTGCCGATCCTCCCGTCGTCGTTGCCACAGATGGGTGAATCTGTGGCTTCCGATGCCCTCTAGCTTGAGTCCGAACTCGTGCGAGATAGCGGATGCACAGGACCTCATTGACGAGGGTGTTTTCTTCGGCAACACCACACTCGTGCTTGCTATCCTGCTAGGGATCTTCTTGATCCATGTTGGGGCAGTGTCGGCCGTCGAAGCTTACTGGCTTGCCCAGGTAGGGCTATCATGTTTCACGGCCATCGCGCAGGCACTCTGATTCGCTTTCAAAATCGCTCCCTACCTCTCGTTGGTGTTTTTCTCAAAAACGATTAGGTCCATGCGGGTGGTTCAGGTTGAAAGATGGCTGAACATTTGAGGAAGACAATTTGTTTGGGTCCTGAAAAGACTTCGTGCAAGAAGCAAATGGTTGAAGCTGCGCTTCTAGGTGGACTACAGTCAATAAATACATCTCATTTCGCACTCGCATTTCACCGAGGGCGTGATACCTTGTTGTTGCTTCTTGTCTGACTGCCTGTTATGATTGCCAAGCTTTCAGAGGTTCGCCCCTGTTCGTCACCTCACCCCATGTTAGTGCGGCGGTTATCGGTTGCCCGTTCTCTAACCCTACGAAAGTGCACGAATTGCGCTGTACAACACGATCGGAACAACCCCTTCACCGTGTCGTCCGTAGTTGCGGGCGCCAGCCAGGTCTACCATGTGCTCGCCGTCAAGCCTCACCGCCGACGGATAAGCTGTTCCACTTCCAAGTGCAATTTGCTCAGATATCGACAAAAGTTTCATGTTCCACGCTTACTCTTACAGACCGCGATCAATGCCAAACCCCACAGGATCGCGCTGCCGCCGCACTAAAGTCTGCGCGACAGATGTACAGAATGTCTGCGGCGGATCTCGACCGACGGGTGTCGGCCAGTGGTCGCGGCCGATTCTCGGCGGTAGCGAACGATCCGAGCAACGGCACAAATGGGGCACCTCCGAGGAGGGGGCCCCTCGATGACTTGATCTCCTTCGGGGATCTAGAAGAGGATGCGAGGTCGAGACCATCGTCCCCCGCACCGGCATCTAGTGTAGGGTCACCGGTAAGTTCGGTTTGTACTCGTGCGAGGGAAGTCACTACCTCGTGCACACGAACCTGGCGGCACTTTGGAAATCGTTTTGGATCAATTGAGGCAGCTGGTGGTAGCAATCTACCGGGTTGGGTTGGTGCTCAAATGTTACTTATCATAAGCCCTCTAGTGGCCTTTTTCTGCACAGTCCAACTCGGACGGAATGTAATGCATCTTTTCTTGGGAATTAGGAGTCTACGACCCACCTTCTGAACGCCAATGATAACCAACGAATGATTACAACCCCTGTCAGTCGCCCCTGAGTCTGAACTATATTGACGACATGTTTTCAACGTGTTCCGAGCTGTATTTGTTCTAAGAAGGATGATCCCACATCCCTGTTGTCTGTGTGATACGGCTGTCGCACTCTCCGGCACAAACGACGTTTCGGGGGAGACACAGCCCCAAAGTTTCTCCTCCTCCTCTTCCTGCCCATGTATCCTCCTTGTTCGCCACAGGCAGAATCACCTTCCCCCCCCCCCCTCCCCGAAGCATACGTCTCTAACCAGCATAACACGAAAGTTCCCCTCTGTAACTCTCCCGGCGCAAAGAAGTGTTCGCGTTACAACGTTGATAGTTCTACGCATTCCGCTCGAACCGTTTCACATTTTTCCGTGATATCGCCAACGACAGCGTTGTATGTCACCCGGGGGGAGGCTGATTCGACACTGTCCGAACGGGTCTCCCGCTTCTCGCACCTCTGGCTGTGCCGACGGTCTCCCCTCCGGCACTGAGAGAAACTCGAACGGTGGTTGGTCGCAGCCGAACAACAGGGCGGAATGGGCGAACTCCCAAGAACCGATGCAGCAGCAAGGCCGTGTGGCCTCTATACCCAGAAGCCACCACGGCGATGAATGGTCTTCCACCAACGAGTCGGTATCGCCTACGACCAAATCGCTCAAAGACGGTACGGTGTGGTCGCCGGCAGGACGAGCGGGGCGAACCCTCACGCCCCCCGGCCGTAGCAGCCTGACAAAAAGGTGCAGCGACAAGGGAGGAGGGTCGCTACCAGGTAGTCCAACTCGCGACGGATATCGCTACGGCAGGACGCACCAATTGGTGAGTTTCCGTTCGGGAATATCTGAACGGTGTGTGAGCAGATCTCATCAGGTATCACAGGACGAGTTCCATGACATGGTCGCTGATTCTCCACGGGGTTGTCCAGTGTTTCTCTGTTGACTTCAGTGGGGGCACTCGTGTCGGGAACGAGTCTTCTAGCATATTTGACCGTTGGTGGTCCACTCGGGACCCCAGTCTCCATTCCCATCATTCTGCCCAGAAAACTCCACTAGCCACATATAACATTGCCACAGTCTCCAGGTCCGTATCTAAGGGCTGCTTCATCTTGGCCGTTCGTTCCTCGTGGTCCTAACCGCCTTCGCATATCCAGTACCCCAACCAGTCAGCCGTCTCGTCAGTAAGATCGGCCTCTCCCCGTTCGCTACCCTGGGACAGCCCCACCCGAGACTTCACGGGCGCACCGGCCGCCTACCGAGTGTCCAGAGTGACCCATCGACACGAAGTAGACATATCTGGGAGTGGATACAGCAATCAGGACAGAGGCAGTGGGGGTGGCGAGCCACTTGTGGGTCTTCTTGGCATGGCCAGCGTGTTGTCGACCTCAGTAGATACGGCAGCAGGGGTCGTGCCGGAAGTTATGAGCGCAGGTACGCCATCGCTCCAGCAACGGTCGGCGGCCGTAATCAGCGACAGCGGCAGCGCTTTTGGCGACGTGATGGTGGCATATTCGAGCGTTGTTGTTTCGAAGGATGGCCTCGACGGTGGCGGTGGTGGTGATGGCGTTCGTCGCCCCCGAGACGACAACTGTGCGGGAGATAAAAACAGCTCAGAAACTCCTCGATTGTTTGAAAGGTGAAGCGCAATAGGTATCTGCATAGCAATTGGAGTTATTGCGGCGGCTTTCAATATTCCGGAAGAAGCACCAAAGAGAAAAGAGGACCCCAACGGTAGAAACATGTCCGAGATTGCTAGAAAGTGTGGAGCGTGATGCCGACAATATGGTTGTGCCGTAGGTTCCTGAGCAATCCTGTCTGTCTTCGTGGAGGAACCTGCATGTTGAGGTGCCGAAAAATACGATCGGGAGCTTAAACGTTAGCAGTCGACCGAGAGGGTAGATTTCCGTAGTGTTGGTGCTACTTGAGGAAACGGAATGACTCAAGCTCCTCGGGTGAGCACCCGATACCTCATTGTAAGCCTTGTACGATACCTTGTCGAGTGACTCACAACAAGTTGGCGAAACAGCTATTACAGCGATGCACGAACCTCCTTTCTTCAAATTGGATCAACCACACCCCTTCCTTCCAACGATATCAAAACTCCAACCTCAGCGACATGGATGCAAAGCCAACGGACCGGGACTTGGACGACCATGATGGCAGCAACCCTATCCTGGCGTGCCGTCGCCGGTCTCGCTCCATGTGGCTCCACTTCCCGCACCTCGAGCTCCTGTTCTTGTTCTGGGCCTTCGAGGGGGCAGTTGCTGCTCAAGTTTCGGCCTTGAAGAATGCCGAGTGTGCGCACGTGTTCTGGCTGGCCCTATCAGCCCTGGTAGGTTCTCCCTTCAGGAGCTTAATTCCCGCATGGACAGAAACAACTTTCGACAGTCGTCTGGTCTCGCTAGATACCCCGTTCTCGTCTTTGTCCTTGCATTGGTTGTGGTTGACAAAGTAAGCAGCGGTGCCGACCGAGTGTTCTCGATCCTTTTCAATGAGCTGAACAATCCAATCCCAAACAAGCTCCCCCTGGGGTTCCACAAGATGTGGAATCGCAGTACGGAAAACTGCCGCACGACTCACTCTAGCTTGTCTCTTCGGTAAGCACAACAGCACAAGGACAATTTGCTCGCGCGAGAGTAAGACGCTTAGTCCTCAACCCTTTCGCACCCATGCTCGCTGCGTCACCTTTTGTCGTCGGTGTGCAGCTGCTGTTTCCTGTGTTGATGCTACTCATGGTCTGGCGTACCATCGCCGTTCGCGTCCGTCCCAATGAGCTACTGGTCTTCAGGACCAATGACAACAACGATCAGCAGGGGAATAACGGTCTACCCCAGGCAGAAGGGGCGCTTGCCAAAGACCGTGGAGGTCCACCGACTGAGATGCTACAGGGTGACATGCAGGAACTGCACCAGCAGGGGTTGTGGAACAAGGTTTGTCATTGACCCGCAGAAAGAAACTCGGAGCGCAAGTGGCTCTCTTCCTCTCCTGCTTGGTAGCCTCCACTCGCCTTCGCTCGCCTCCGCTTTTCGCTTGGCTGGGTATGAGGAACCACCTGAAAGACACGTCGCCGACGACCAACGCTTGTGGAACCTATGTACCCCGTTCCGAAGCTTGATGCTCATGATATGGCAACGGGAGGAGGAACCGGTGGACCGCAGTAGTCCATCGTAACTCTCTCTCTCTTTCTCTCTCTCTCTCTCTCTCTCTCTCTCTCTCTCTCTCGCTGGTAACGTACCATGGCATGTGGATAGTGTTTCCTCGTTCGGAAACACCCATGATAATACCCTGAATGTTCATCGTGGCCGCGTCCGTGATGAGTCTGAGGCCACGCACGTCATCTCTACCCTACCCGCTCATGGGTAGGGTGATTCGACGATACCGCCACCACCATCGCGCCACAACCACCCCCAATTCCATACCCGCTGTAGAAGACGGAAAAGCGACACATCTACATTTTCCCTGGCGTCCTAAGAAGGAAATCAGAAAGGAGCTGTTGAACGTTCTTCACCTGTCCCTGGGCACGTATGGCTGCTTTGTTTTAGTGTTACGATTTCCCTTGGGTCGCCCCTGCCACCGATGACTCCAGCCCCCCGCCAACTTCCGTTGAATGGATGTGTTGTTTGTGTTTCCAGTTCGTCCACGGTTGGCTCCAGAAGGGAATGCTGTTTTCATGGGCGGATACCGGCCAATGGGAATCGGTGGCTACCAACGACCAGGCACGAACAGTTTCTCTCTCCAATGTATCGCACTTCGTTGTCATCGGCATTTATTATTCAAGCTCTCACCAGAGAGTGTGGCGGGATACATCGAGGTAGCAACGTTGTGCAGTCCTTGTTGTGGATATCGTTGATACTCTATTTTCGCTGTTCAACGAGGTTGGACAGGCTCCTCTTACCAGCTACAGTACGCGAAAGCAGACATCTTCCTTAAATGTCAAGTTCATCGACAGAAAGGTGAACAAGCATACTGAAAGATTTCTCGCTGGACTGAAGCAACCGATGGACTTTTTGCGCGCCTTGTACAGACGTTCCTGCCCGATGGATATTTCGCGCTTTGGGCAAACGTTCCTGCCCGATGGATAACCCCGCCGTACTGCCTGCTCGCGTTGTGTTTCAGGATGTTAAACGCGAGGCCGACTGGTTCCGCATCGGGTTTGAGCCGTTGTTCATCGACTTATCCAAGCTCGGGTGCTTCTACCTTGTGTTTCTCTTGGTCAAGGTATGTGATTGACTGTCATTCTTATCGGTTTGTGTATGTGCTAGGTTGGAACCAAAACCGTACTGCTTTTTCTCGCGTCTTGATGCATTTGGCGTACTCCTCGTGGACACTAGCGCCACGAACCGTTTCTTTTCTTCAGGTGTGCATATCTTAGGATATGATTGGAAGAGACTTTTTGTCGAACCCACTGATCGTCCACTCCTATGCCATCGCCACCGTCCGTACCTCTCCCTTAACGCAATCCGCCAGTGGTTTGGCTTGGCGTGCGTGGGAGTTCTGGTGGAGGACAGCGTACAGCAGCTTCTGTACATGATCGTGCTGCACGCACTGGATTTGGCTGTGTTAGTCAGCGCATCGCCTTTCGCCAATAGGTATGCGAATCAACAGTGTCAGCCACGCGTCACATTGAGAACCGATTTGCACAGTACGCTCTGGCACACCGGTGTGTATACCACACGTGCCGTCAACCGCGAAAGAACTGATTCTGCTACGACGGTCTCCTCCGTGCAAACCTCACAAGAACACGCGATGCTAGAACCCGTTGTCTCAAAGCCTGGTCGAATTCTCTGTCCAAGGCGTCTTGTCTGGGGAATGGCAAACGGTACTTATGTGACTACCGCATCTTGTTCTACTCCCCGCGGGACCCATCGCCGACATCCCTTTTTCGGAATAGCTTGCTCTGCAAGGCAACTGCAACTTTTCCTTCGATATTTTCCTTTCGAGATGAACGTAGCGAACACCGGAGGTACGCCTCTCGCCCTCGTGCATTGGCAAACGATTTGGTATTGGAGCGGGTGCGATTTCATCCTTTTCACAGATCGGCATGATATGCTACACGTACACGTTTGTACTGACACCGGAGCCCTCCTCGCGTGTATTGTATTACGTCTTGGGCAACAGGGTCATTAACGGGATGAACGTGCTGCTCACAGCTGTGGACTGCGCAAGCTCGGCCTTGATGCTGGGTGCGGCCGGTTTCGACGAGGAAGAGACGTCGACATTTAACGATATCGCCTTCGTCCTCCAGTTGATGGCCCTCGTCGGTGAGATTCGGACGACCACTGTACTGCAAATGTTTCTTCCATGATACGAAATATTCCGAGTGGTCGGAGTAGTAGGCACAGGAATGGTCTCATCGTCGGGTGTTGATGATCACTTGCATGAGACAGCAGCATGCAAGTAGGGTGAATTCTAGCGGGAGACTAGGAAGCATCACTGCGGTAGCAAAAAGACGCAAATGAATAACAACCAAGTGAGGGGCGACTACATGCAGACCATGCCAAAATTGGCGCTGCAGACGCCAAAGGCACGTACTTGGAATATTGCTTGTTTTTCAAAATGCCCAGGGGACTCGCACACCTGGGTGCAAAGGGATGTAACTCGAAACCGAACGAAACCGAGGACGCGAAACCAACGGGGTTTTACACCAATCGAACGGTTTCAACATATGGGAGACGTCAATCTTTTGAGTGGCCTCTGAAACTTGTCAACAGCATCCACTTGCTCTTGACCGTGGAATGATACGGATTCACTTCCTCCGCCCCGCGTTCCGATTCACCACCCCCCGAACGCATCGCAAACAGCTCTCGTGGTCCCCATATACATCGACACCGGTGTCGTTCTGGCGATCTGGGGCGTGGAGAAGCTAACTAAGGGATGCTCGGCGAGGGACAACAACAACATCCCCCAAACGCTTGACGTGAGATACCATCAGAGTGCTCCGTCGTGTGGTATCGCCTGTGTGCACCCAGAGTAGCACATAATTCCCTTTCCCACTCACGAAGCTCAATGAGTGCTTCCGCCGTTGTGGTCCACAAGAGCTCCAACATTTTCCAGCGAAACGTTGACGAAGGAAGCAATCATGTGCTTCACGCCAACGGTCCTAATGGCTCTGTTCATGCACACTGTGGTTTACTGTAGTTGTCAGAGGTGGTTCGAACATCTGTGTTGCGTATTGCCACGAATCACGCACGAACACACCGAGTTTTGTGCGCGTACCCCCTCATTTTGCCACCCTTACACTCTCACAAGGCTAATAGACTATTCTTCGTACTCAATAATACGACATCATGAAATGCAAAACGATCTTGAATTTTCCTTGCTGGCTCGTCGTCACACGAATACCCAGACGCGAGGAAATGAAGATCAACGCGATCGTGAGTACGTCCGGCGCTTCGCCCGACGCTCCTGGCCCCGCTTCTGGTGCTCCATGGTGTGCCACAACATCCATGCTTGTATCACCGACATTCGCGAGGGTATCCGTGCCCCCGCCATCGTCCAACGTCGTCGCCGCCACCTCCAGCTCCAGAACGGCAAGCTAGGGCTAGCGGGAACGAGCGGTGACTGGTCGTCTCCGCTGAAATGCTGGAGTAGTATAAAAGCCGCTCCTACGTTACCCGTACCGACATCGCTTCCAAACAGCTGCATGTCCGGTGACGAGTGGGAAAATCCGGACAGGTTCTCTTCAAACGGCGTTGGCGGTGGCGGCGAGAGCCCGCCGCGAAAATGGCAGCAGCAGCAACAACATGGGAAGTGGACACTACCACCCAAACTTCGGGCGGCCGTCTATGGGGCGGGGTCGTGGGGTGGCGAGACGATGATGATGAGCACTAGAAGCGTAGTAAATCGCGCGCCACCATCACCAGCAGGTCCGTCTGGCAACGGCAACCACGGTCACCGACGTGGTGGAGGATCCGAGGCGGTAACGGCATCGGAGAGCGTTGGGGATTCCGGGCGCGGAGAACGACGAGGGCTGGGAGTGACTACGAGCGGACGGGTGCTGATTCCGTCCGTCTTCTGCTCGGCGCCGATCCTGATTGAAGAGCCCCGCCGAAAACGCTTCCACAGTGCGGGACACAGCAATGCTCCCGAGCGTGGACGCAGCGGAAGCCGCGAGGTTGAAGGCCCCGGTGGACGTGGAGGAAGCGGAGGAATCGGAGGATTTGGAGGAGGAGGAAGAGGAGGAGGAGGAGGAGGAGGAGGGTCTAACGGTAGAGGCTTGATGACGTCCATGTTTCCAACCACACCGATCGCGATGGATGGACCTCTGAGGCACATGCATGGTGTGAGTGACAGTTGTGGCGGTGACGGTATCAATAGTCTCATGTTAGCCAAAGAAAACCTTTTGGTGACCAGAACAGAAGAGCAACTAGCCGGAAGAGGGCGGCCGAGCGGGAGGGGGCTGATAACCTCAACGCCTTCAAACCCCAAGGAGGGGATTACCAAGCCTGAAGAAGAGAGATTCGACACTGGGTATGGCAGCGGTTACGGCGAAGTCGAAAGGTTAAGGTTCAGGCCGAGAGGAGTCGAAAGCTTGGCGGCAGACCGAGAAGGAGATTGGAACAGGGGGCGGGCGAGTGGCCGGGGGTTATTGTCGGACAATTCACTGGCCCCAATCAATGCTTCCCACAAAGAGCCCCGCGACTGGGCTGCTTTGACGGAGACAGCGACGAACCGCGAGGAAGATGACGAGGAACGGGGATCTGGGAAAAGTGCTGCCAAAGGACTTTCGACAAACGGCGGGGGCGGGTGATCGCTCGCGAGAAACGCTGAGTCTTTTTAGACGCTTCGTCGTTTAGTATTGGGCGTGGGTTGGGAGGAACCAGCGATGGCAGAAACCTAGGAGAACGAACCTTAAAAAGTGCAATCCCTCGGAAAGCTTATCACAACACCTACACCCACGGCTGGGCATCGCTCTCTTCGTCAAGTGGGAAACCTTGAAGCACCAGGACAAACGCATGGATGTCCAAAGTAATGTCTGCAGTGGACTAGATCATGTAGTGTAGAGCACATTGAAGTTTTGAATGCGCCTCCTGCGGAATTGAGGAGGTGTAAATTGAACAGAAATTATCGGCAGGAGCTGTATTATACTTTTTCTCCTCGCGAACAGTGTCCGAAACGTCAACCTGAGGCTCACGCAACGGTGATACCGTGTCGAAGGGGTTGAATGGGGGCGGATCGCCGGGGTGCAGGATTGCGGTTCTTATCCCCATCAATACATGGCATGGCGCTTCGAAAAAGGAGTTTCTTGGGCGAGAACCATAGCAAGTAGTAGAGCTTATATTATTGAAGTGTACTGTGATTATAGGAGTACAGGGGGCAGGAGCAGCCTGTCCGAGCGGGAAATGCGTTCTGTACTAACGTGTACATGCGACCGTCGTAGAATACCCCTAACTGTGTGCTGCAGTGCACTTCATCGGTCGAGACGTCACGAAATTGCGAGCTAGACTACTTGAAGCCTTCTGGTTCTTCGCGAAACGCGCGGCAAATCCTGGGCCCTCCGAGCATGTTGACGATTAAAAGCGGGGCGCGGGTGCGCATATTTCGTTCAAGAAGAAGGCGTTGTACGTAGCAGGTTGCAGCAGAGACTTGAGCATGCTCAGTGGGATGCACAGTTCAAACTATTGTGCCTTGCTGAGGTCCATGAATAGCACGCAGGATATTTTTGATTGTGTTCGGAGAAATGGTGGGTGCGGGCAAAGACGAACAACTTTCTCCTTGGAGATTTTGGTATGTAGTTGCACTCCCCGACCGTCTTGTTGTGTTTCATCAGCGCTTACTATCCGTTTGTTGCCTCCGACTTTGAAAACCTCCTGGTTGTACCGTTGCGCCCGAAGCACCATGAGTGAGATCCTGTGTAGTGATGTCCTCACGTTGGCAATCCATTCTGGTCTAACCGAGTATCTGCTCAACATTTCTATCAATATGCGGCTGTGTTCACTGCTCTAGGCAGATCGGATTAGCTTGTGGCAGCAAGTAGGGGCAGTATCTGACAGAACAGGCTCCGGCTGTTCTTCATGGAGTATATCACTTCCGTCGACAATGTCGTGGTGGCTGAGCCCCAGACCTCGTGAGTTTTTCCCCACTAGCCGAGTCTCGGCTGCATCACCTATTTCAGCACCTTGATATTGGAGTTATTAGAAAGGTGAACGCTCTGATTACATGTCGCACGTTACTGTAGGATAATGCAGATTATTTTCTCACTGGTCAAAAAAGGTCCTTCATTGTCAGTCCGAGACCGCTCCAGCAACCTCTCCTCTACGCTATTTTTAACGTTGGCTAGGTGGTGCACGACTTTGGCAGGCAACTGGTACTGGTATAGCACTACCCACCCGCTCCGCATATCTCTTGGCTGCCACCCTACGCCCAACCAGGCGGAGGCTCCCAGGTGCTAATCCTCAGCCTCTCATTGTAGTAAAAAACCATGTCCCCATCCTCCACCACCTCCCAGCCATCCCCGGATTCGCCATTGCTGTGGACCGTCGTGAAGGCTGAGGCTCCCAAACCGGTGGCGGCAAATGAATGTTCGTCGTTGCCACCTACACCAGATGTGTTCTCTGAGTCCCAACCTTGCGCGCCAGCTGATGCTAGTCGAGCGTGGGAGGCCTCCCTGCGCGGGGTCCGTGGGGTCGCCAACAGCGCAGACCGAGGAGAGAGACACCACCGAGCTTCCCCCAATTGGGCGTGGTGGAAGAACGTGAACAAGGGACGGGGCGTGGATGATCCGGCACTACGTGAAGCATCCGGCACCGCCCCCCCCGCCGTGGCTGCGCCGCCCACTTCCGCGGTGGTGGCGGCCGTGGCCGCTCGCGGAATAACCCCTAACGGACCTTTCACGGTGCCGCCTTTTTTGCTGGTACTACCAGCCCCTCGAACGATACCATCTTCTGCTACGGCAGCAAAAGCTGTCTCGGAAGGAACCGCTGCCTTCAGCTGGCACCAGCCTGCTCGCCCGATGTCGCAGACCTTTTCTGACCTCTTCAGCAGCAGGCCCAAGTCCTGCGTCTTCAGCCAGGCTTCCCCGGAGGCGCGGTCGACGAAGACCAACCCCAGTTCCGGATGAACCACAGCTACGGCATCTGGTGGCCCAGCACCACCTTCGGCAGTGCCCCCGGCAACAACGCCTTCGTTGCCAAGTGTGCTGTGCGTGCCGACACTACCGCCACCACCAGACCTCCCCGCGGATGAACCCGGGTTACCCTCGTGGGATTCCACGTTCTCAGGAAAGAATGGGAGTAGTCCCAACAGCGGCGGATTGCCCCCCCAGAAATAGTCGGAAGTCTTCTCGCGGTACCAGCACTTGTTTTTCGTGGTGCCAGGAGACGGGAGCGAGAACCGGCTGTCGGTGCTCACGAACCTCCACTCCCTCGCAGCCGCCAGAGCGAGCAAGGTTTGGTCCGCAGCGCTCTCAGCACCCTTCTCGTCGCCGCCCTTTGACTTGGCGATGCCGTAGCTGGCACTGATGGTTGCAATGTTGGCGACCACGTGCCGGAGGAACCGTTCCTCTTCCTCCGCAGCGCGGGTGGCCTCGCCGGTGAGCTCCACCAAACGCTTCCGGAACCTGCTGCTGACGGTGTCGACTCCAAGCTCTTCGCCCGCGTCGGAGTCCTTCGAGGGGTTGGCGGTGCCCGGCCTATTCGTGGCGCCACCACTGCTTTCTTCGAAGAGTGAAATTTCGAGAGGCTTTACCCAGCGGATCTCTTGATTCCAGGTGTTGACATAGTACACGTCGCCCGTAGCAGCGTCCTGATTTCGTTTGGGATCAAGTTGTGGATGAAGTTTCGGCTATCACATGGATAATTCACCCTACTGAGTTCTGGCCAGACACAGTCGGCACATATGGTTCTTATTGATTCGCTAATTCCGCTTCAAAGTAAATGGCATTAAATGCCTAGGTGTTTCGTGTTGAGATTATCGTCCTTGGAGGCATCATAACGCTGTTCAAGGCAAGATGCTATTGCTGCTGTTTTTCCTTACCTCGGATTCAATCCAGTAGTCCCGATACCAGGAGTTGATCGCTCTCCTGACTCTCCACCCTCGGAAGATCCTCTGGATAGTGATCGACCCGCTCCGTTCAGATCGAGCCTGTCAGACGTGCAGTTCAGTAGAATCGTTATCGCAACAAGAAGCACATACTGTTGTATGTTCATTACCAAGGGCTATATCTGTGGACGCGAACGCTATCGAGTCACTCACCTTCTTCCGTAGCCTCGCTGTTCGCAGCAGCTTGACCTTCTCCACGGTGCCCTTCCCCAGCGGGATGAGTTCCCTCTCCGTTTGCCGAAGAACGCGAGTGTTGTGTCTTTCCTTCACCTGTGAACATTGGCAGCGCTAGGTGCTTAACACACTGTTGGCCGACCTGCGTGTGGCGTTGTCCCGGGGAAACGGAACCCACCAATAATTTTGGAACCCTGGTCTCAATTGCCTAAGCGATCTGGTTGTAGGATGGACAGCACAAACATTGTAGGCGGTAGCGTGTGGGCGCCAACGATGGCAACGACTCACAACTCACACCAAGCAACGCATCGGTTGCTTGTGACGAACCACGTTTTCACTTGTGTTTCGTTTTTGCTAATATCAAAGGTCGTCTACACTTACAGCTCGGCGAAGCCGAGAGCGTCTGGTATAGCCTGAAATCGCCAGTTGTTGGGCTCCTACTCTTTGAAGCTGGTTGATGATAAAACGTCGCGGCTTCCTCGCACCTCAATTTCAATCGCTTCGGCGTCGAGCTTCTCCAGACGTTCCTCGACGTTTGCCTTTAACTCCACCAGTCGCACTTGCAGGAACTTGGTCAAAAAGCGCTGACGGCACCCGTTAACCTGTTCGTGTCCGCCCAAATGTGGAGCAGGTCGATATCAAAAGCACCCAGCATTGTGGGCTATATTGAAGCCACCTGTGTCTTCCGAATTTCCCCCTACAGTTGTTGTTACCAATGGAGAGATTAACGTCGATTTTGATCGGATTCGTTGGATATAGCGAGCGGGCCGTCTCTCTCATAGAAACTGAGATGGTTCTCACATGTGAAACTTGAAAAGGATACGTGCTTGAAGTCCTCTTATTGACAGAATTGCGTATCGGAGAGTCACATTAAAATAGCCTCAATATTCGCATCCGACCTATTGTGCAGGACAAGAACATGGTGTACGTGGCTCCTAGCAACTTCTGTTTGTTTCTCGACGTATCACGAAAAGCAGCGAATTTGCAGTAGGTGTGAAGTTCCTCAAGCGCGGCTACGTCCCCGATTCATAATCTCTTGTTTCCATCAAAGCAATTCTCCTTTCAGGGGCCTCGAGCTTGGTTCATGGGCACATCTTCGCTGGCCGTCGGCCAGTGATGGGCACGCGCTCACCTTGTCGCTGTCGGTGTACTTGTCCGTCGTGTGCCGGATGTGGAACAGTTCCTCGCGGATGGCAACGTGCTCTGCTCGAAGGGGTTTGACAGCCGTGGCCACGAACCGTTGGCGTTCGGACAGCTTCGCGGCGTTATGGGTGAGCTCGTCCAGCTTTAGCTGCAACGGGGTAGTCAGAACAACGATACACAATCAACACAGTCAGCAAACGTCGTTTACGTGATACTCAAAACAAACGACTGTGGACCAGCATCGACGTGTTCGGAGCTCCTGGGGTAAATATGAAGCGATCGGTATCAGCGAGGGAACGGTCCAACCTGTTTCGAGGAACAGCGTTTCAGCCATTCTTCGTAGAAGTAGTGCAAAACGTCGTCAAGTAAGAGCTGCATCGTCCAGTTGTTTCGGCGTGACTTGCTTAACGTCAAGTTCATCCGCTACAGCAGTAATTTTCTTCAGTAGTAAGACATGCACTCATTCGATAGAGTTCGCTATATACCATTACGAAAAAATGAACGTGAGAAACAGGAGTAGCAATCCATGAGAGCCAGTAAACCCCACCAAGCAACGCCGACTCTTCCCATCTGCTCGGCTTACCAAGAGCGGGCGCGCCTTGCTCTCGAGAGCCCGTAGGTGCTGCTTACACTCGAACCTTTCCCTTCCCTGGCGAATTCACATTAGCGATGTAGTGCATCAACCGCAAAGGCGAGCGAACACACACACAGGTGAAGGGTTGTAAACAAACACAGGCAAAGGATTGTGGCAATTTGAATGCACCATCTTGTCCTCGTGCGTTTGAGTGAATGGAAATGTCGTCGTTGGCCGCCGCCGTTGCCGGGCCGCGACGGTCAGCGTGAATGCCACCGGTGAGTGAAAAAACTACCCGAGGCGCCGGCACACCACCGCGCCAGCCGCGAGAGTTCTTCCTCCTTCGTCACGGTTGTCGGATAAGTCCGATGACGACCGCGGTGAATGGGAGTGCCGCGGCGCCAGACGGCGAAGAGCTGCTCTGGGTCTTTGGTAGCCGACATCAAATCGATAGACAAAAGTCTGCGAGTATCCAGGGTCTTAGGAAAAAAAAAACTCAGGTGCTTAGCCTGCATCTCAAACCCACGATGGCAAACTTTCTTAGAAGCCAAAATGAAATCATTAGACTGGTTTGAATACGGCTTCTAAAGGCCCGTCGATAACGTTCGGGCCTCCACGCGCGGGCAGGACGCCGCACGTAGCGGTAGGGGGACAGGGTGCGGGTGCGGGAGGAGGAGTACGCCGGAGTAGACGTTCGGGGGAGGAACGAAGGGAGCGTCGGCATAGCCGGGTGACGGCGTCTTCGAAACGCTCGGAGTGTGGAGTTTCCTCTCACGCGTCGCGTTCTGATCTTGTGTTCCGCTCTGACTCGTTTTCCTCCCGCTCTCGTTCTCGCTCGGTTACACTTTATCGCCCTCTCACTACCCGACTACCCGAAGGTGGCATCGAAGCTGATGGCGTTCAACATGCAGATGACCTTTCAACAGTATGCGCGTCCACGCTAGGCGCAGGCGTTGATGCACGTACTATTGGAAGGTCCTCTACACGTCGACCGCCATCAGCTTCGAGGTCACCTTTGGTTTGGGAAGGGGCGGTGAAGCGGAACCCGAACGGGAATGAGAGTGAGGAGAACAACGAGGAAAGCGACTCACGAGAAGAACGCGATGTGCGAGAGGAAACCCCAACTTCCGAGCGATTCGACGACGATGACGCCTGGCTGTGTCAACGCTCTTGATTTGGGCATTTTCTCGGGGTGGACCTGGAAGAAATTAATCAAAAACAACGTTCCGCATTGCTGACACTACAAACGTCGTGCAGATGTCCAATATGAATGGGATGTGGGAGAAAAGAAGACCCATCCACCTTGGTTGGTGTGATGGCATCCTCGAAACCGTTAACGTCATCATGTCGTGAGCTCAGCCCCCGGTTTGACACCGATTCGGAAGCACTGCATGAGGGAAGGAGCAATTCTACAGCCTTCGGCCGACGTGGTGAAGGCATGCGCAGCAGGGTGAAAATGGGCATCCCGTACGTAGCGAGAGTGGCGCATAGAGAAACTGCAGCTCGAAGGGAGGTTTTGTGAGAGTTCGTCCTTGTTGTGATGCGTTGGAGGCAAGACGAAATTCATTCCAAATGTCAGCACGGTCAGCCGATGAAGGAGCCGTACAAGACCGGCCGCCGTTGCAACGAGGCTTTCTACTATGCCATTGACACCGACAATATGCCTTGTGTTGTTGTTCGTATCTTCATACAAGCCAATGCATACCCAAGCGCCTACCATTTTCCCAGATCTCAAGCCTACCTCACCCTCCTTTGGGCCGAACAATCCAGGTCTGAGAAATAAAACGAAATTCATTCTGGAGCTGGAACTGTATGATGTCAACTCTTGAAAGCAGCACGAGGTTTTCGCTTAGAATTTGTGCAAGTGCCAGAACGGCGAACCCCTCTTAACTTATGTCCGCGGAAAACCCTTTCGATGTTCATTGCAGCCGCCTCCCTGCCGAGGTCCGACTCGAACACCTTCCTCCGAGCTTTGGCGCGTAGCCTCCCCTTGAACCCTCGATAAATACGTTGGATCTCTGCTCGATTCAACCACAAAAATAGTGACGTATGGGCAGCCCGCGATTTTCACCAGTGAATCATTCTCATTCATTCAACCTGGGCACGCAACGAAAACTTGAGGTTTCACATTTTTACCACTCTGCGACTTACGCACCCCCCTTTCAGCCGTCGATTGGTTCGCCGCAACTGTTCTCGTTTCACCGCCAACAAAACATTAGAGCTCCAACGAATCTTGAACCCTCCACGCAACTTCCCGTTTGATTGGTGTCCGTGACATACGAGTACGATTCTACTTGACGGCAGGCGGGATAAGGGAGCGTACGGAACTTCTCATGTACATGAAAACGGTTCAAGTAAGGCCAGTCGCAACAACGTCCATTCAGGACGACTTTATTACACACACAAAGGGCGCACTCGCCTTTCGATGCTCCATCCTGCATCTGCCTGATCTTGAACAAGGCTCTCTGGATGGTGGCGAGGTGCCTGGCTCGCACCGCACGCCAGAAGGACTGGATCGTGATCGCAGCCGCCTTTTGCCGAGCTTGTTCCTGCAAACGCGAATAGGCACCGAGGGGAACACTTGATGCAGTACCCGACGAGGAACTAATTTCATCTCCACCCCTGTCAAACACTGAACCTGATCAAGAACCCCATTCCATTCAACGACGCAGATATATCTGTAGTTATGGGACCCACAACGCGTTTCCAACCTCTTCGCCCAGAAAGTCTTGAATGTCCCGGTGATGCACAACGAAAAACAAATATTCGTGAATGCATCTCGCCACTCACCCTGAGGATCCGCATGGTCATGACCATCATCTTGGCTACTCTTCCTCGCCAGGCGGCCTGAACCTTCAATGCCATCTCCCACTCGAGGATCTTCAGGTCCCTCCTTGCCTTCAGCGCCGCGAGGACGGCCCTGGATGAATCCAAACGTACCCGTCAGACGTAACGGAGGGTCGCAGAAATGTTTTCAAGTACGTCATAATACGCCCGTAGACGGAGGACGAAGCCGTGCGGTGGAATTTTCAACGGTAGGCCCTTGATCACTTGCCACGCTCAGCACTGTTGTGGCCGCCCCCGATCGAAAAAACAACTGAAACATGTCTCGTAGCCAGCATGAGAAACATACGTGGAACTTGCATATGAAGAGAACAAGGCAACACCAGCAAGGCAGCGGCCCCGCGCAATTTATGACCCAGACAATTTTACAGATGTACTGCTTACGGAGGTCAATGCTAGGATGTCCTCAATTCCGGGTCGCATCGAGTACTGCTGTGCAAGAGAATGGCACAAGCCGGAACACAGCATGAACGCACTGGTACTTCGATTGCTCGTCGATGCCGGCTAGCCTGACGAGCAACCATGTTTTGAAGCAGTGAACACATTCCTATATTTGTGAAACGGCAATCGATGTAGGCCCCATCTCCTTACCGTCCCTGGCGCATCCTTGCGAGGCTCTGGACCAGCAGGGCGGCGGCCTGGTTCCTCTTCTCGCGCGCCAACGCCTCGTTCCGGAGCCTTCGCAGCTCCAGCAGCTCCTTTTGCGCGAACAAGCGCCTGAGATTGTTCTGGATTGCTATGGCAGCAAGCTCTCGTCGAGTCTGAAAAGGATGATGAACACATTCACCGCAGCAAAACGTTTCGGGTATCGGCAGGAATGTCAAATCTGTGCTAGAAGGTTCGATACGCTGTCCCGGATTGAGAGGGAGAAGAATCTTCAAGGAAAACGAAGCCGGAGCGTAATCCAAACGGTCGGTGAAGACCGGGTTCTGCTCGTGTCGAGTAGTGCATGGCACAACTAGCGCCGTGTGCCTCGAAGAACCGACGGAGTTCTTCATGATAACTAACTGTTGCGCTTGAAACGAGCGACGAACAGCCGGCTTTCCCATAACTGCGTTAGCTTGTGTGATGCAAGGCACAACGTACTCCACCTGTCGCACGATCATAGTGCGGTAGCAGTGTTCTCACCTGTGTTCGAGCCTCCAAAAGTAGTCGCCTGGCTCGTATAGCCCTGACCTCTTGCATGCGGACGCGACCTCTGCAAAAAGAATGAGAAGGGATAGCACTATATGCTTAGAGTCCCACCGTATTACCTCGGGTGCACTGGACCTGTCGCTGACCAAACTCCTCCAAACGTGTATCCATCACTTTTTGGCAGGTTCCTCGCGTATCGCTACCTTGTAGAACATTAAGTTGGTCCCGGCGGCACACGCCGACCAGCATTTGGTCTTCGTCGTGTCAGATTAACCATATTTCGATACCAGGCGCGAAAAAGACAGAGTCAGGCACCCGCAAGAAGAGGACAGTCTTCACAAGAAACATGCTGAAACAGCTCAACACATCACCGTCCAAATGCCAAACTTCTGTCACAAGAGCTGGGCCACCAAGATTCCCGTGACGCGCTATATCGGGCGTGCTGCTATCGTTCCTCGGTGTTAATTCAAAGGACCAGTATCTTCATCGTCGTCCCTGAGCATATTCGTGTACCTGTATCCCCACCACCCAGCCTGGATCCTCGTAGCCAATGACTGTCCCCGTTCTCGGAACAACTTTTCCCTCCTGAGTCGTTCCGTAGTGCGGCGATCGCCAAGCATCCGCCAAGTTGCCTGGATCGCTGCCGCTGCCCGTTGCTCTCGAACCTGCTCGGGGAGCCACCATGCGAGTCGCTAATGCTTTCTTATGGTACAATGTAAATTTATTTGGGGTATACGATTGGCAATGCCAACTGCACGTTTCGGACCATCCCCGTTGTTGCCCGATGGCAAGCGCTTCGTGGATGACTCCGTGATATATGTGCCTTTGGGAAAGTCGGTGGTTTTTTACTTCAGGCACTAGCGTGGAATTTGCCAGGATGGCAGCCGTCGGCCTGTTGCTGTAGCACCTCCTTCTAGGAAGAAAACTGTGTATGCACTCTGTAGCCTGTTCCTGTAGCACCTCCTTCTAGGAAGAAAACTGTGTATGTCCATCATCGACCAAGTTGAAAACCTGCAACAACAGGTCAGTACCCAGTTGATGACCTTCTCGAGAAAAGACCTCTAGGCCTTGAAAAACGTTGGAAATCGAAAACAATTGCACCACCACGAAAAAACTTCGGCAACAGCGGGGCGCTCTTCGTCGCTGTCCCGCGAACAGTCCTGGGAACTCCTTCTACGTATGACCGGACCTCTACGACGCACCTGGGCTCTCCAAGCACGATACCACTTGCGGGCGAAGTAGCCTCGGATGATGGCCTGCGCAATAGCTAGTCGCGTTTTGATTATCCAATTCCTGACAAACAGGAGAATTTGTGTGGCTTCAGATGCAACCTTGTTCGTTTGTAATGGGATGTCTTTGTGTTTCCTGAGAATGGGGTGGAAATGCCTGTACGTACGCGTCTTGGGTGGACCATTTGGGCGGAATTCCACAAACACTCTATGCATATGGGATTCATGACATTCGGGCTGAAATTAAAGTGATCTCGATTCGCGTGCGTACGAGTGAAGTGCGCGGATTTCAGTCGGACCGGCTTTCGTACCTCGGACGAGTCGTACTTCGTATTCACAATGCATGTTGAGGACAACTCGCCTACTGCCATCACTTTGAAAGAACGGAGGCGATGAACTGGCGCCGTCAGTCCAACCCAACAACGACGACTGCATACCTTCGAACGATGCTGGATCGCCCACGGGCAAGGCGCCCCCGCATCAGCGACTGTACCACTATTGCGGCGCGTATCCGCCTGTTGCTGGCCTCCTTCTTGGCCAGCAACTCTTTTGCGTTCTTGCGAGGCTGCCAGTAGCAGAATTCGTGGGGAGTGACGAGAGAGGGGTGAATGCATGTGTGGTTTTGCAATTTGTATTGCAACCACAAACTGCAATGAAGTGTGCAATATGTTGCTTGGCATAGTCGTGTCCTTCAGAATACGGGGCGAAGCATGTCGAGGTATTGGCGATCAAGACGATGATCTAGAGAGCTGAGGAATGGCAACCCTTCTTGGCTACCTCAGTCTTTGCACTGCTGACTATTACCCATCTCGGGTAAAATGACGGGTGGGTAGGCATGGAATCATTATTCGTCAGCAGGCTTCGGCAATGTCGGAAACCAGACGTTTCTTTTGCCCAGCATGGCGAAAAGCACCAGGACAAACTGTCAGCGAACTAAAAATGTGGAACAACATTTGGAAGTCATCATATGCTCACCTGAAATCCAAAAAATGCCTGGGCCGGCTCAGACAGCTTCATGCTGTGGCACAGCTCGGCCATGAAACGCCTCCCTATCCTCGGGCACCTGTACAAACAAGGGCAAAGTTGTTCTGCTGTTATCGTTATTGTCGTTGCCGTCGGTATGGTAGTAACACCCATCCGGCCCAATACCTCGTTTTCCCCATTCTTGCAAAGTAACGTTAAATATTGCCGTGGGGAACAGAAGCGGCGTCCCTCACCAAAGGAGGCGGTCAGTGAAAGCGCCTGACGGGTGAATGTGTTGCATTCAAATAAACACAGCAATTCTCTACAATGTGTTTCAAAAGCACTAAAATGGACCAACGAACCAAACCAATTCGACAAGTGTAGTAGATGGTATAGTCCTAGTTTGGCTCATGAGAACTCTCACAGTTAGGGCTCAGGCTATCTCACCGAAAGTAGACTAAGGTTGGACATGCTGGCTTTTTCACCCCACTTTCGTCTGGTTAACGTCGACACCATCCATCAACACCGCATATGTCCATTGGCTACTTACAAGTAAGCAACCAACCGAACAACGTGGGTCGATCATACTCTCTGGGTTTCTTCCCCACGAAGCTTACAGAAAACCCAGAAAGAGCACATTCTTACGGCTGCCACGTGTCACAGCCGTTCGAACACAAACCACGAACCCCCTCGCTTTGTCAATCCTAGTATAGCTCATAATGGGCCCAAAGTCCATGCGTCGTGCATGCGCTACACTCACCCGGTGACGTTGAGGCTGGACAGCGCCGTGCAGTTCATGGTGATACCGGTGACACCCGTCTCGGTTATCGCCGAGCACCCGGAGAGGTTCAAGAAATGCGCGTTCATGCTGCAAAGAGCGCGGAGGGCGGAATCGTCGACTTTCTCGCAGCCGCCTACGTCGAGCTCGGTGAGGTTCTTCAGCCCCCGGGCAAGAGCAGCCAGTCCGTGAGCGTTAACCTAATTCAGGCGTGTGCTGTTTGATTTCGGTATAGCTATTGGGGAATCAGTTTGCCCTGATAAAGCGACGGCGTTGTCTCGCTAAGGAGAATTCCGCGGACGTGGAGGTCCTGTTGTGTCGGTTGCGCGGAGACTGGAATCGACGATGCTGCCAACACCATGGACTCCAAGCTCGGTCTATTGGAGGTGTTTCTGTCTCCGCTCGGCCGCGAGAGCTCGGCCGCCGTGCGGCTTCGTCGATTTCGTTTGCTGTGCGCGTGCTTTTCTATTTTTTTTCCCAACCATGTGGAGCCCAACCCAAGTTTGACACGATGGGCGTTCATTGGTTTCTTGTCGTGCTCTTCTTGTTGCACAACGGCACATGTCAATGATACCAACACGTGATCTCTCTGAATCGCGGTGGGAATGCACATCTACCACGTCTTCGATATGACAGTGCTCGCCAGGGGTGGGTTTGTGCTATTGTTCTCGCACGTCGTCACCTATCCCATCCACCCGATCTCTCCGAATTCCTTTCGCAAGCGTGTGGTCATCGCGATCTAACATCTCGGATAAGCTGGTCTTAGGCTCCTTGAGAAAATATTGAAGCTTCCAGACAGACGACTTGCGGACTTCGAATAAACGCCATGACGACCACAGCAACACCGGAAACAGCCCCCTTTTCTACTTCCTCTGCACCTGCCGGCACTGCGCGATGTTGAGGTGCCGCAAGCTCGTGCACCCTCGTGCCAGCTCCTTGAGGTCTCCGTTGCCTACCCCGCCACAACCCGAGAGGCTGAGGTCCCGAAGCTTAGAGCACCCACGGGCCAAGGCACGAACGCTCCTGCCGGTGATTCCGCCGCATCCCGTCAGCATGAGTTTCTCCAGCTTGGGGCAGCCGCGAGCCACAGAGAGGAGCCCAGGATCCTTTCAATCCATCCGGGAGCGATAGTTGTTTTGGTGTGTATGAGAAACAACTCGTTAGGCGTGTTCTGAAGCAGTGGAAGTAGGAACTAGGAGTGCTACGAGCAGTACGTCCAACACGCAGGTCAATAACGACGAACGGTAGAGTGTGTGGGGAAGCACAAGAAAGTCGCCTTTTCCCTACTCCCCTGCCCCCTCCGTATACTCGTCCGTGTTAATGCTTTGCCCTCGGCAGCATTTTTCTTGGAACGGGGGCGGAGTGTACACTGGACTGGTCCTCTGCGACCATGAGTCGATGCTGCCCCGCCAACCTTCAAAGAAACAACCAACTCTCAATAGCACCACGCGTTAGATCTCTTGTGTGTCGCTGTCTTTGAGGCGAGGGAACCTTGAACGACTTACACGTTCGTAAAATACGGTGTGATCTGTGCCCCGAACACTCTAAGCAAAAATTGAGAACGCCGACTCATAACACATGAGCGCGAGGACACCAACATAAAGCAGCCGAACCTGCGCGTGGGAGCACCCGAACGCGTCGAGACCCGTAAGCTGGTGACAGCTCCGGCCTAGCTGTATCAAGGCCCGGTCGCCGTACTCGCCCACACGCTCGCAGCGGCTGATGTTAAGATACGTTAGCCCCGTGGACAACTTGGCAATTTCCGCTACCCCGGTATCGCTCACGTGCGAGCAGCCCTCAAGCGACAGCGATTTCAAGCTCCTAGATATTGCAAGCAGTGACGGGGCTCGATGAAACGCAGGAATGACCGAACGCGCGGGGTGAAAGAACGGGGCGTTCTCTTCTTGAAGCTCAAACAACGATAGAAGAAGTTGATAATGACGTCGTGCCTAGAGCTTACGGCAGCCGACTATGCATGGCTCGGGGCGTGTGTGGCATGAAATTCGACGACAGTACCTCTGGCGACTGTGTTTGTGTTCTGCTGGAGCCCAGAAAATTTGGGCAAACGATGAACTGCCATTCAGAACTGGCGCTTCATTGACACACGTTTACAAATGTGAGTATTCGCCCCATGTCAATATTTGGATCGAGCGTGCCACAAGGTCGTACGTGGGTTGCTCAATCCCAAAAAGAACGCGCCCGATACTTGTGTCACTTAAGTGGATTTGCGTTGATAAGAAAGGCAGCGGAGGTGGTTCATGGCTAGCACGACGTATTTTCGGGATTCGTGAGGAGTTGGGACAAAACTCTGGACGATGGGATCAATGTCGACCCCGCGATAGACAATGTATCTGGGCTGTTCACGGACAATCTCCTCATTCTCCTCCACAAAGCGTCGTCGTTATTATCTAGCAGCGTTGTGTCTCTCACCAACAACCACCGCCAATTACTCGAAGACCCAAGTCTGTCAGGCGAGTGCAGGACGTGAAATTTAGCTGTTCCATCTTGTCGCAGCAAATGGCCAGCGACCTCAACCCGATGTTTGTTACGCCGTGACATCCGCCGACGTTGAGCTCTCGCAAAGCCGTCGTGTGCCTCGCAATGCACCACATCCCTACATCGGTCACCTGATTCGACGCAAAGACCAGTAGACCCGCCCCCGAATTTTCAGAACTACCTGGGCTGCACATGTACGTGTTGCGCCCCCGGCTGTCTGTTCCGGTTGCTCCGAACGAGCTTCAATCCGGCGGGCTTGATAAAACGTGCAATGTTGAGAGCGTACATTCACTGGAATCGGCTCAAACAAGACCAACACGGAGTATACATCGTACAGGGTCAAGACGACGGTGGCTTGAAGAGTACAAAGGCAGCGCCCGAAAACAGCTGAGGTGACGAAACAACCCCCCGGTAAATGTGGCCATACTGGTGGAATAAGTTGAACCCCGAAGGGTAAAGTAGGCAGAGTAACAAAACCACCATTGAAACACTTACGGAGCAGTGACGCATGATTTCACCTCCACGACGACCAAGCGATCATATCAACACTTACACACAACCCACCTCGATGCAATTACGTAAGCTGAGCCCGATCATTTCGGGTCGGAGTTTGCAAACTTCTTGGACAACTGCATCGGTAACCGGCCGTCCAGTTTCCGTCTGGTGCACATACAGATCCTGTTTTCGGCAAGCAACAGCGTGTTCACATGCCAGAACCTTGGAATAATCTGGGCATCCTAATGTCTTTAGGATCGTTCGTTGCGTGCGAGTCGGCGGAGTGAACAAAGCTCTCCGTCGTTCCATAAGTAGTCTATCCCAGTAGTCTAGACTGGTCTACAAATATCTACGGCGCCGGGGTACACGTTAGGAAAAGAGATGAGAACACATATACACACGGATATAGCGCAGGCAAGCAGCGCCATGGAGTAGTTGTTGTCTGCACTGTCGACCGGAGCAACGGCCACCGAAATGAAACACAGTAATATTTTGTTCAAGATGGTTGCTTAACGCCGATTACTTGTCTAGACTAACGCTTTCTGCGGAGGTGTGGAGAGTCCAGGAAACTTGTCATGGTGAGGGGACACACCGCGCTGTACGGCATGCTGCAGTCTTCAAGACAATTCCAAGTTGACGCGCCGGTGTTGTAGTCTCCGAACGCAAGCGAGCTATGAGAACAGCGTGCTTTTAAGAGACACATTCCAAATACAGCATCAAATGGCACGGAAACTATATAGTACAGTAGTTTCTCTCGTTACAAGTTTCACACCGGCAGCCATCGCTATAGGAGGGGTTTGTCATTGGGCTGTTGCTTGATCACGTATGTACAGTCTTTGAGACCTTTTGATGCAGTGGATGATGACAGCGGCATATTACGCGTGCGTGATACACGTCTTTATCCACGAGAATCTACCGCCATGCCACTCACCAACCGCTTCTTGATGGAGCAGTCTCTCTCCTCCAGGAAATTCAGCAAGAAAGATCGGATGCTGGCCACTTTCTTACGGTCCTCCTCCAACAGCTTCGCCGACTTGCTGAGGTGGGCGTCGCTGTTGTCCCCCGTGCCACTGGAGCTGCTCCCGTTGTTGCTTCCACCACCATGTAGAAGAGGAAGCTGAGACGGGCGAACGTCCCCTGTTTCTGGCGATGCCTTGTTCCTAAGCCTTGACGGGCTGTCCATTGGCGGTCGAGTGCGGCCAAGGTCCGCGGCATCTGCTGCCACGTCCTCGTTGATGTAGTTGTTGCTGTATGGAGGGTGTGGCGGGAGAAAAGTAGACGATGGAGAAGTCGTGACAGCAGACGAGGATGGCAGTGCCGACGACGTTCTCGGTCGCTTCCGAGCATTGCTGCTCTTCCTGGTGAACGGCCAGTTCGATGGTGTGGATTTGACCGGAGGAGACCACGGACGAGGGTCAGGGTTGAGCTCGCTGTGGGCTCCTCCCGGTTTCAATAGCTCCTCAGCTGTCATTTTTGGGACTGCCCTTAAATTATATCCATTATTTCGGAGGACGCTGGACACCCAAAGGTCCTCGAGCCGCTGTCGCACGAGAATGGCTAGCAAGCGTAATGACTTGAGCGGCGGGAAAGCGGAGAGCAGCAGGTTCGCAGGTTCCGAATGAAGCGGCACAGGTTGCCCCGCATGGGGGTTCTCCAATGCCACATTATGTCTGCAGGGGGGCTCCGTCTCTTCTGTCCCCGCCCAGTGCACATCAGCATCAGTTCACCTCGCGAGCGTTGTGAAGATGATGAAAAGGTCAAAGGATATACCGATAGCATTGATTGTCCTGTTGTCGACTGCGTGTTGGTGCCCGACAAGTTCTTGGGGAGTGTCCTGGGGCGTTGGTTTTCGTGAATCGTCAAAGATTGCTGCCTCGTCACGATGTAAGTGCAACACGCCAGCTTGTGTCTGACTACACCAATAGCCTGTAGGTGTAGAGTTAGCAAGAATGCGCTGGGTTGAAGTATCTGACTAATCGCAACCTATCGCTAGTGATTCTCTGCCATGTTTATGCCAGAAAGCATATTTGATGAATCCGCACCCTTTCGTGTACCGCTACGCTAGAGGTCGATGCGGGAGGCTACCATCAGTAGAGACTGCAGAAGACTGCCGTAGTAGTCAACTCACCGCGTACCGTCTCGACCGCGTGTTCTGTGCATAGATGCACACGATAGATATGCACACGGGCTATGTACCAGTAGCTGTGCGCCTTGCACTTGAGTGTCCCAGCAGGTATAGTATCTTCCCGCACTGTGGTTGTCACAAAGCTGCCGGTACATATATGTTTGCTATAAGCTCCACCATGATCTCATGGTCTCTAACAAATACTCCTATCCGGATAGCAAAAATATCCGCGACAAGCAGCTGCTGTCGTAACTGGGTGCGGCATTCTGCACGACCTACAAAACCTACATATATCTGGCATGCCTTGTGGTACTGCTTTGACTACTGCTGTTTTCAGAGATAGAACAAGTTTTGTCCACATGTTGCTTGTAACACGTAGTCGCCTGTTCTCGTCAAGGCTATGCTCGTACTGCTGCTGTAGCTTTAAAAAATCGAAGTAGAACTCAGCAGGGGTACAGCAGTACAGGATTCCACGGCTTGCCTGACAATATTTGTTCGAAGTGGTTTTTTCAAAACAGGCTCGGTTGCATTCGAAAGCGCTGCTGAACATCGACGCGGGATAACACCCAGTACCTTCTGCTGTCCGTACTTCAGTACTTCAGTAGTCAAACACTTGACGCGGTTGATTCCCGTGGTCACAGGCTAACTTACCCAATAAAGGTACTTGACGAAAATAAAAAATGGATCCGAGGGTCCGCAAGTCAATACAGTAGGTGGCCCGATATAGTGGCAACCTGAATAGTAAAGTGCCCGATATAGTGGCATGAAAATCTCCTGGCAAATCTCAACCCGATATAGTGGCACTTTGCCACTACAGTAGGTGGCCCGATATAGTGGCAACCTGAATAGTAAAGTGCCCGATATAGTGGCATGAAAATCTCCTGGCAAAATCTCAACCCGATATAGTGGCACTTTGCCACTATTGAGGACGGGGCCCTCAATAGTGGCATTTCGGGCATCACACATACCCAATAGTGGCAGTTCCAACTAGTGGGCCCCCACTATACTGCTGTACCACACCTGCCCACACACACTCTCAGTAGTGGGCGCCACACGTATCATGCTAGTCTGCGCGGACCAAGAACTGTGTAAACTCCCAAACCGACCACTGGGAGAGAAAGATGGGCACGAGTGTCGCCTTGGCTGCGGTGGCAGGCTTCATGGGATATGTGGTGAACCAGAGGAGGAGGGCGGCCAAGAAATACACCGCGTCTGCAACCCGTGCATCGCCAAGAAGCAGAAGACACCCGGCTCCTCGAAACAGCCTAAGCGTGCCTCGCCCGAATCCGAACTTGCCGGAGATGGCGCCGCGGCGAAAAAGACCAAGCCAGCCGGGAAAGCAGCCGGGAAAGCGGGAAAATCGACGCGCACGCGGCTCAACTTCGGCCAGCAGCTTGAGGTTCTCAAGCTCTTGGACGAGAAGACGACGTATGCCGAGATTGCCCGCCGCTACAGCATCAGCACCAGCGCGATTAGCTTGATCAAGGGCAAGCGACAGCAGCTGGAGCAGGCAGCAGCAACCAACGCACGCAGTACAACATCCAAGAGCTCGCGAAGGGGAGATTTTCCGGAGGTGCGTTCACTCTGTTTTTTATATTGATCAATTTTATTACAGTACTACTGTATGTGTACATAAAATTGCGCGCGAGGTGTGCTGTGTATGTGTGTCGTTGTTATGTGTTTTTGGGAGGGAAAATTGAAATTAGATCTGTGTTCGAGGAGCGTATTTTTTTTTTGGTGTTGGTCTGTGCAGCGAGCGTGCAACACGTCTGGGGTTGGCATAATTGATGCGCATTTGTACAAACTTGTACGCTTCTACATATATACAGCAGTGTAGTTGGAAATTTGTTGAAAACTTTTTTCATGAACGGAAATCAAATAAATAACGCTCCCCGAGGCAGGACTCCTTTTTCTACCAACACAGCTGTGTCTTGTTTTGTTTTGTGTCTTGAGGGTCTTGTTCCTCCTGCGACTGTCGTCGTATATATGTAGTTCTTTAACCCGCGAAACGTGTGTGACACGTACGAAATTATATACTGCGACCCGTGACGATTTATTTTGGAGGCTAACAATCCTTGCTTCGAATGATGCGTACAGTATGTACCGTCGAGTGTTCTCTTCACCGGACACGGCATTTCGTAAGCAGTAGTTACATGTCGGGCTGTGTCTCTACTGCTGCGCGACTCATGTGCTCCGTTTTCTGTCCCCAATTATTCTCGTAATTTTCTTCAGTTGGAGAAAGACGTCCTGGCCTTGATAGAGGAAGCGCGGAGAGTGCCGCTGCCTATCACGCGTGCCACGATCGAGTCGTTCGGGATCGCCGTCAGGGACAAGCTGGTGGCGGCGCCGTCAACTCCAGCGGACGCCAAAGAGAGGCTGCGGATGTTTGGCGCCAGCGAGAAGTGGGTGCGCAATTTGGTGAATCGCCACAACTTGACGAGTTTTGTGCTGCACGGCGAGGCCGGTAGCCTCGATGCCGAGGCCGCCGCCGAAGGCATGGCGGCGATCCGGCGGGCGTGCTCGAAGTACAAGGTGGAGAACATCTTCAACGTGGACGAGACTGGCATGTACTACAGACTGCTGCCGAAGCGCACGTACCTGTCAACAACGGAGAAGCGGAAGACGGCGAGGGGCACGAAGGGGATGAAGGCCAAAGACCGTGTGTCGGCCTACATGTGCACCAACGCCACCGGGACGGCGAAGGTTCCCATGGCGATCATCGGGAGGGCGAAGAACCCGCGCTGCTTTCGGTCCTCGCCGAGTCCGCTCACCTACTTCTCTCAGGCGAATGCATGGTCGGACAACGCAACCTTCAAGAAGTGGTGGCTGGAGGTTTTCATCCCATTCATCCGGAAGTGGACTCACGAGCCGGTGCTGCTTCTCATGGACGGGTGCGCGTCGCACGGCGATCTGGTTGATCCTCGAGGCCAGATCGAGGTGAGCACGTACCCGCCCAACTGCACCTACAAGTACCAGCCAATGGACATGGGTGTCATCGAGACCACCAAGCGCTACTACCGGAAGGGTCTACTGGACATCCGCGTGTCAACCATGTCTTCGGTCGACACTCTTCGTCAGCAAGCTAAGGACCGCAAGATGGCTGCCGGTACGATGGGGTTGGCGGAAGGGCACCCGGCCCACCTCTTGGACGCGGCCGAGCTTCTGGAAGGGGCGTGGGACAAGGTCACGCCCACCACCATCGCGAGGTGATTGATTTCGTTGATTTTTGTGAGGTATGCATGCACCCCTGTTTTTTTGCCGAGTTGCTCAGTCCTGCGCTCTAGTTTGTAGTACTACGCGCCCCCCTCCCAAAAAGAAGTAGATTATCATTTTGACGCGCCCCCTTCGCACCCTCCCCTCCTACCCCTCCCCCCGGACGTTTATACCTCACAGGTGCTGGGTGAAAGCTGAGACTCTTCCAGCAGAACACCAGGCGCAGCTTGCGAACGACGCGGGGAAGGGGGTGGTGAACGGGGCCAAGGACGCTGGGGTGGCAGAGCTCACGGAAACGCTCAACGCGCTCAGCATCGGCGTCCGCGACGCGGCGTCCGGGCCGGGCGTGCAGGACTCAGAGTTGGTAGAGGTTCTGGCGAATCTTAACATCGCCCCGGGCGCGCCTGCTCACCCCACGGCCATCAAGGCCGTGGAGGCATGGGCCGGGTTGGACGAGCAACCCGAGTTTGCTGAAACTCTGTCTGAAGACGCAAAGGAGATTTTCATGGAAAAGGTTAACAACACTTTCAAGGAGGACGAAAACATTTCTGACGACGACGACGAGCTAGACAGCGCCAAAGATTCTGAGAGTGCGGGGGGTGGTGGGAAGAAGGCGCCGCCGTCGTTCGCGGAGCTGGCTGATTTTTTTGGTCCTCTAGAACAATACGCAGAGTCGTGTGGCATTGGTGACGCCGGGCACTTTCTCCGCAAGGCGAAAATGGCATTCTTGGCAGCTACATTCGCTAGACCGGCACGGCAGTTGGACATTAGAGTGTTTGCCGACTCGTAGTGCAATCAGTCGGCTGACGCCTACAGTTGCAGAGCATCGTGGTGGTTGGGTTGATGCGCCGGGGTGGGGGTGTTTGATTTTTCTAGTGCTGTAGGGCTGTTTCAGTTAGTTTCGCGTCTCTACGTTGCTGTTTTCATGCGTTCTACACGTAGTGTTGAACCCCATGTTACACTGCCCGCCGGACAAAAAAAAATGATATGCCACCTATGATACAATGCGTTTGGACGTGGTTCCTGTGGTCTGCCTGCACAGAAAAAACAGGTCTTGACCACAGAAGGCTCGGTAACCGTTGGATAATCAACGGCCATTTCATGTGTTTCATGCGGATACTGCTGCACACAAATAAACCACGAGGAGTGGAACAGTATACACGGCTTTACAGCGCATAATGAGTGTACAGCGTGAACATCGAAGCTCTTTATTCGATATAGTGGCACTATTGCCACTATCGACTGTCTAATAGTGGCAATAGTGCCACTATATCGAATAGTGGCACTGCCCTGAATAGTGGCACAATTCTGTCTGGCCACTATATGCCACTATATCGGTGACCGATATAGTGGCATATAGTGGCAATAGTGCCACTATATCAAATAACGAGCTCCACCGATATAGTGGCATATAGTGGCCAGACAGAATTGTGCCACTATTCAGGGCAGTGCCACTATTCGATATAGTGGCACTATTGCCACTATTAGACAGTCGATAGTGGCAATAGTGCCACTATATCGAATAAAGAGCTTCGATGTTCACGCTGTACACTCATTATGCGCTGTAAAGCCGTGTATACTGTTCCACTCCTCGTGGTTTATTTGTGTGCAGCAGTATCCGCATGAAACACATGAAATGGCCGTTGATTATCCAACGGTTACCGAGCCTTCTGTGGTCAAGACCTGTTTTTTCTGTGCAGGCAGACCACAGGAACCACGTCCAAACGCATTGTATCATAGGTGGCATATCATTTTTTTTTGTCCGGCGGGCAGTGTAACATGGGGTTCAACACTACGTGTAGAACGCATGAAAACAGCAACGTAGAGACGCGAAACTAACTGAAACAGCCCTACAGCACTAGAAAAATCAAACACCCCCACCCCGGCGCATCAACCCAACCACCACGATGCTCTGCAACTGTAGGCGTCAGCCGACTGATTGCACTACGAGTCGGCAAACACTCTAATGTCCAACTGCCGTGCCGGTCTAGCGAATGTAGCTGCCAAGAATGCCATTTTCGCCTTGCGGAGAAAGTGCCCGGCGTCACCAATGCCACACGACTCTGCGTATTGTTCTAGAGGACCAAAAAAATCAGCCAGCTCCGCGAAAGACGGCGGCGCCTTCTTCCCACCACCCCCCGCACTCTCAGAATCTTTGGCGCTGTCTAGCTCGTCGTCGTCGTCAGAAATGTTTTCGTCCTCCTTGAAAGTGTTGTTAACCTTTTCCATGAAAATCTCCTTTGCGTCTTCAGACAGAGTTTCAGCAAACTCGGGTTGCTCCTCCAACCCGGCCCATGCCTCCACGGCCTTGATGGCCGTGGGGTGAGCAGGCGCGCCCGGGGCGATGTTAAGATTCGCCAGAACCTCTACCAACTCTGAGTCCTGCACGCCCGGCCCGGACGCCGCGTCGCGGACGCCGATGCTGAGCGCGTTGAGCGTTTCCGTGAGCTCTGCCACCCCAGCGTCCTTGGCCCCGTTCACCACCCCCTTCCCCGCGTCGTTCGCAAGCTGCGCCTGGTGTTCTGCTGGAAGAGTCTCAGCTTTCACCCAGCACCTGTGAGGTATAAACGTCCGGGGGGAGGGGTAGGAGGGGAGGGTGCGAAGGGGGCGCGTCAAAATGATAATCTACTTCTTTTTGGGAGGGGGGCGCGTAGTACTACAAACTAGAGCGCAGGACTGAGCAACTCGGCAAAAAAACAGGGGTGCATGCATACCTCACAAAAATCAACGAAATCAATCACCTCGTGATGGTGGTGGGCGTGACCTTGTCCCACGCCCCTTCCAGAAGCTCGGCCGCGTCCAAGAGGTGGGCCGGGTGCCCTTCCGCCAACCCCATCGTACCGGCAGCCATCTTGCGGTCCTTAGCTTGCTGACGAAGAGTGTCGACCGAAGACATGGTTGACACGCGGATGTCCAGTAGACCCTTCCGGTAGTAGCGCTTGGTGGTCTCGATGACACCCATGTCCATTGGCTGGTACTTGTAGGTGCAGTTGGGCGGGTACGTGCTCACCTCGATCTGGCCTCGAGGATCAACCAGATCGCCGTGCGACGCGCACCCGTCCATGAGAAGCAGCACCGGCTCGTGAGTCCACTTCCGGATGAATGGGATGAAAACCTCCAGCCACCACTTCTTGAAGGTTGCGTTGTCCGACCATGCATTCGCCTGAGAGAAGTAGGTGAGCGGACTCGGCGAGGACCGAAAGCAGCGCGGGTTCTTCGCCCTCCCGATGATCGCCATGGGAACCTTCGCCGTCCCGGTGGCGTTGGTGCACATGTAGGCCGACACACGGTCTTTGGCCTTCATCCCCTTCGTGCCCCTCGCCGTCTTCCGCTTCTCCGTTGTTGACAGGTACGTGCGCTTCGGCAGCAGTCTGTAGTACATGCCAGTCTCGTCCACGTTGAAGATGTTCTCCACCTTGTACTTCGAGCACGCCCGCCGGATCGCCGCCATGCCTTCGGCGGCGGCCTCGGCATCGAGGCTACCGGCCTCGCCGTGCAGCACAAAACTCGTCAAGTTGTGGCGATTCACCAAATTGCGCACCCACTTCTCGCTGGCGCCAAACATCCGCAGCCTCTCTTTGGCGTCCGCTGGAGTTGACGGCGCCGCCACCAGCTTGTCCCTGACGGCGATCCCGAACGACTCGATCGTGGCACGCGTGATAGGCAGCGGCACTCTCCGCGCTTCCTCTATCAAGGCCAGGACGTCTTTCTCCAACTGAAGAAAATTACGAGAATAATTGGGGACAGAAAACGGAGCACATGAGTCGCGCAGCAGTAGAGACACAGCCCGACATGTAACTACTGCTTACGAAATGCCGTGTCCGGTGAAGAGAACACTCGACGGTACATACTGTACGCATCATTCGAAGCAAGGATTGTTAGCCTCCAAAATAAATCGTCACGGGTCGCAGTATATAATTTCGTACGTGTCACACACGTTTCGCGGGTTAAAGAACTACATATATACGACGACAGTCGCAGGAGGAACAAGACCCTCAAGACACAAAACAAAACAAGACACAGCTGTGTTGGTAAAAAAAGGAGTCCTGCCTCGGGGAGCGTTATTTATTTGATTTCCGTTCTTGAAAAAAGTTTTCAACAAATTTCCAACTACACTGCTGTATATATGTAGAAGCGTACAAGTTTGTACAAATGCGCATCAATTATGCCAACCCCAGACGTGTTGCACGCTCGCTGCACAGACCAACACCAAAAAAAAAATACGCTCCTCGAACACAGATCTAATTTCAATTTTCCCTCCCAAAAACACATAACAACGACACACATACACAGCACACCTCGCGCGCAATTTTATGTACACATACAGTAGTACTGTAATAAAATTGATCAATATAAAAAACAGAGTGAACGCACCTCCGGAAAATCTCCCCTTCGCGAGCTCTTGGATGTTGTACTGCGTGCGTTGGTTGCTGCTGCCTGCTCCAGCTGCTGTCGCTTGCCCTTGATCAAGCTAATCGCGCTGGTGCTGATGCTGTAGCGGCGGGCAATCTCGGCATACGTCGTCTTCTCGTCCAAGAGCTTGAGAACCTCAAGCTGCTGGCCGAAGTTGAGCCGCGTGCGCGTCGATTTTCCCGCTTTCCCGGCTGCTTTCCCGGCTGGCTTGGTCTTTTTCGCCGCGGCGCCATCTCCGGCAAGTTCGGATTCGGGCGAGGCACGCTTAGGCTGTTTCGAGGAGCCGGGTGTCTTCTGCTTCTTGGCGATGCACGGGTTGCAGACGCGGTGTATTTCTTGGCCGCCCTCCTCCTCTGGTTCACCACATATCCCATGAAGCCTGCCACCGCAGCCAAGGCGACACTCGTGCCCATCTTTCTCTCCCAGTGGTCGGTTTGGGAGTTTACACAGTTCTTGGTCCGCGCAGACTAGCATGATACGTGTGGCGCCCACTACTGAGAGTGTGTGTGGGCAGGTGTGGTACAGCAGTATAGTGGGGGCCCACTAGTTGGAACTGCCACTATTGGGTATGTGTGATGCCCGAAATGCCACTATTGAGGGCCCCGTCCTCAATAGTGGCAAAGTGCCACTATATCGGGTTGAGATTTTGCCAGGAGATTTTCATGCCACTATATCGGGCACTTTACTATTCAGGTTGCCACTATATCGGGCCACCTACTGTAATTAACGACAGATAGCTTCTAGAGGAGTTTTATGTGCTAATTTCGGCCCAATCTCCCACGCAACCAGGCGACATGCAGAAAAAAATCACGGTCTCAGTACCGTAAAGGTGCGTGTGATGGCATTGGGGTGCGATCGTTTTTTGTACCATTCCTATCTTGGTTTTTTCTCGCACCTCGGCGCCATAACACCGATGGGTGCCATAACACCGACACCAGTGCGGAAATGCAATTAAATCATTTCGTTCTAGATTCGAACGCACCCCCGGTGCGATGACACCGATGGGTGCGATGTGGAAGAAATCACAGTGGCCATGATGCGGTGCTGAGTGAGCGCACCACCACGGTTCGATGACACCGATAGGTGCGATACTCAAGAAACGAACAGGCGTCGATGTCTTAGTCTTGGGTGCTGTAACTCTTGCAGTAGGAGCTTGTGTAGACGGTTCCATGCAACCAGCCCGGAGTGGTGATAGTGATGAGGTTCAATCCGAGTTTGGGGTGGCGTGAACCAAAGGGAACAGACAGCCGCTGTGGTTCCCTGCTGGGGAAGGTGTGTAGACTCTGGTCTATTCGGCGGGGTGTCGTTTTTCTTCCATCCTCCTTGTTGGTCGCAACCCCCTCTTTTGGTTGCTGGTGCTTTCCTCTGTCTTTGTCTGCCTCAAGGGGCATGGTACCGGTACTATTGTAGTTCCGTTTACGAACTCCTTCTTGTTCGGTTGGTTGAAGGTGCGGAATGTGTACTGCTGTGTGCTTGGTCAGTGAGTGAGTGCGTTCGATGTACGAATTACCGTAAAAATAGTGAAAAAAAAACATTTCTACTGCGCAAACCACGACGGCACGATTACATGAATGAAATGGCGCCCCAATTGTTACCTGCCAACCGCGTTACATACTGTTCCACACGTGGCCCAGAGGGTACCGGTACCTTGCGGAAGCACGCAAAGTTTCGTCCTGAGCAGATTTTTTATCGTTGATATCGCACCGATGCGATAACACCGATACCGGTGCGGAAATGTAATTATATCATGCCGTTCTTAATATTTTTGCGCACCCCGGCGCCATAACAGCGATGGGTGCGAAATCACTGATGAGCGCCATCACACGCGCTTTTACGGTTATTCCGCTCCGTCCGCGTTCGTGTACATTCGATTTGGTACTGCTGTGCACTACATCGGGTGTTTTCAGAGGTTCCCTGGTTGGTGTAGCATCTTGGTGCTGTTGGTGCGATCGAACGCCAATGATGAATTCTGAAACGTGCGTAGGTTTTGGCAACGAGAGACTACCCCGAGTTCTGCTACCTGCTGACAAGCTTGTTACATGTCGTGTTTCCACGAACGGCAGAATGTTTCCATGAGATCAATAGCT